ATAGCCAATTTCCAGCGTTTTACATTTTATTAAAAAAATAAAAATAACATATGAAATATATAAAGCAGTGTGGGCTCCGATTGCCCCCACCTACCCCTTTTGATTTGGTTAAATTCAATATATAATCAAGATTTTAATTTGCATGGACAGCCTGAAAATTAATTGTTGCATAAGAGATGTTTTTTTAGCTGATAAGCTAATTACATTTAATTTCATTTCAGTCATTTAGCAGATGCTCTTATCCAGAGCGACTTACAGTTATTGAGTCCATACATTTTCATACTGGCCCCCCGTGGGAAAGGAACGCACAACCCTGGCTTTGCAAGCGCCATGCTCTACCAACTGAGCTACACGGGACTAGGGCTCATGTAATCTCTCCATTGTTACACCCCCCCAGCATTCTTTTGTTAAGGCTTTTGGGAGATTCTAGCGTTTTTCTTTCAGATACCAACATAGCTTTTTTGGTGGATATTTTTGGACATTTAAATGCACGTCTTGTTCATACACAGCCTTTGATAACAAAGGAGCAAAAGAAAGAGAGAATAAAGGCCAGGGAAATAAACAAGTGCGTAATAAATAACAGAGTCAGTGACGGCACTGAATAAATGAAGCTGGAAAAGACAAGGCCGGAGCCCGAGGCTCCGCTTCACCCTGCTCCTACTCTGTCGAGCTGCTGCCTGAGAAATTTCAGGGGTTTAAAAAAAAATCTACGAGGAGAAAAAAAAAAGAAGCAGAAAATAAATAGAGTAAAAATAATTAGATGTAAGCGTTCTTGCTGAGGCATACTGGCTTGGATAAAGACGTGATTGGGGGGGAAGAGGGGAGGCCCCGGGCTGACCGTGGCCTCAGCAAGAGAGGGGGCTGACCTTGGGGAAGTGAGCTACCGTTGGCTGGGGATGCGAGGGCCTGCCAGCTATATGCTGTACCAGCCCCACTAGATATCATAGTGCAGGGCCCAGTTTCCCAATAGCGATGGAACTTAAGCTTACGAGCGTTTTAACAATGCATCGTTACTAAAACGGCTGAAGAACTCACATGCGTTTCCCAAAACACCACATAGGGAGAACTTTCTTTAAGTGTGTCGTTGTAGCATGTGTCGATATTGCAGTGCTGCTCTCGGATCAGCTTTCTCATTTATTTTATTTTAATTTTTTACATTTTTAGTCATTTAGCAGACACTCTTATCCAGAGCGACTTACAGTTAGTGAGTGCATAAATTTTTTCATACTCCATTCACATCTCACCTTAACATTAGAATTATTCCACAATACTGACAGATCAGCTCCTAGAGATATAGAGTACCATAGTATGAGTCATAATACCCTAGAGGTCAAAGAGGGAAATGGTTCCAATCGTTTTTCCACCATTCATTTTTCCCATTTGGGATTTTAGAAACACTTAAAATAAGGGGTGTGTTTCGTGTAAACTTACCCTGGTGTGTGTAAATCTCTCTAGGACAAGGTGACTTATCAATATATTTGCCCCCAAAAATGAAACGCTAATTAGCTGCTAATGGAAAGGCTAATTAGCTGCTAATGTGGCTATCATAAAGAACTACAAATGCCATGATGATCTGGAAGAGGCTGCCGAATCGAGGCAAAGGTAAGAATCACTGGATTAACTAATGTTAGCTAAATGTAGTAATTAATAAATTGCCTACATTTCTTTAAAATTGACGATTCTGTGAACTGTCTTGTGCAAGTTTTAAATTGACACAATACCTGTTAGCAAAGGTGTCAGCTAGAGGTGATGTGCAAGAGCTTGCAGGGATTTGTAGTTTTGCATGATGTCTACTTTGACGCTAATCAGCATTTTTGAATCTGAGAGTAAATAGAGCCGCATATATTGATAAACGTCACCTTGTCCGACAGGTTATCAAAACGTCACACCAGGGTAAGCCTACACTATACACAGCCCTTATTTTAAATGTTTCTAAAATCCCCTATGGGAAAAATGAATGGTGGAAAAATTATTGGAACAATTTCCCTGTTTGACCACTAGGTCAAGGGTATTATGATAACTCCACTGTGGCGCTCTTCTAATGCTTGTTACACATCATGAAATATAGTGAGGCAAAAAAATTGGACAGTAGCCTACAATTAGCAAAATAGAACTCAATTGAATGAACATGACATTTATTTTAATATGACTGAAATATATAGGCCTATGTAACCTATACTGTATTCATCTTCATACAGTCATCTAGGTTTTCATTTCATTTTTTATCCTTCACTTGTTTGTAACAATTGCAAAGACATTAGCAACTTTTTATTTGTAGTAAACTTCGTTCTGAAGTTATCGGTGGTCACAGAGCAACAGACAGCTAAACATCTTGATTCTGTGTTTAAAGTGAAGCGGAAGGGCAAAAAATGATCTAACGACACACTTAGCTGTTCTACGAGTGGTAATTAACATGCGTTTTCAAGTGCATCTTTCGTAATGATGGTTTTGGGAAACAGCTCAGAGATTTAACCATGATAATACAAATGCTTTACGATGAACTTACACTTAGCCTTAAAAGGGGAATAAAGTCACATTTCAAAAACGTGTAGAAGTTCCTAAACCCCTCTGATTTATTGTTGGACTGTCAAAGTGTGCACCTCTCTCAGTCAGGGAGAGCGAGGTAGAGCTAGAGCGAGAGCTACATCACCCCACTCACTGGAGCGCTAGACATACATTTGAGGAATAACGCAAATATATTTTAAAAAAGAACAACAAAAAAAAAGAAATCACGTTCTGTCACAGAGAAAATACTAAATTCGGGAAGCCCAATCGATTGTTAAATATGGCATATACATTTTATGTGATAAGTTTGGGTTGCGGGTTCACAATTTTACATTTTCTGAGATCTCTGCCAAGCAAGAAAGGAGCCGACCTGATCCCGCCTCCCACTTCTACCTTCCAACCCCATTGTCCATCTTCCGTCTCTGACTGTAGGCTATCCCTTGTTGTATGGTGTGAGCAGATTACGGCAAAATATATACCGTATTTTCCGCACTATAAGGCGCACCGGAGTATAAGCCGCAGCAGCTAAATTGAATGATATTGAATGATGTGTACATATATAAGCCGCACTGGCCTATAAGCCGCAGGTGTTTTAATGTTTAATTACCATATGTAAGGGTTCGTGCACAGAGGGGATTGTCGGGAAAGAGACAAACTGTCTCGCTCTCGTAATGTCTGTCTGTCTTGCTCTCGTTCTGTCTCTCGTACCACTCTCGGTTCCACTTTTACTTTTGCGCGCTACCTGTCTCACTCTTTTCCGGCCTCCAGCTTTTCCTGCTGGAGCCCGCCGCTTAAAGGTGGGGGGCGCGGACCGGTCATAGAGCCCATAGAGTTAAAGTTGGTGGACTGTAACCTGTAAAATCCATAGATTTAGGAGGTCTTCTAGTGGCCGTTAGCTGTAAAAATCCATAGATTAGCTGCACCGTTATATAAGCCGCAGGGTCGAAAAATGGGAAAAAAGGCGCGGCTTATAGTCCGAAAATTACGGTACTAAAATGAGAGGGAAAGCCTAGTGAGTGTGCAACATAACTTCCACTTCACTAGATGACAAATATGGGCTATATGGCTAATCCATGGAACAAATGTTTAATTAGATAAATAAAAAAAATAAAAAAACTATCCTACAGCAGCCAGCTGACAGCGAACCTTGTAAAATAATTTCAGTTGCAGATATAATAGATAGCCTAGGTACTGATGCATGCGTCTATCGAAATGTGATTTATGCTCACTGTCAAATTTTTCATTGGTGTAGATCAAATATGCTATTATTACATTTATTATTAGCCTACATTTACATATCGGTAGACTAATGACAATCATTTACCAAATGATGCAGGGGATTTATTTTGCAAGCCAGGGCCAAATTGCCTTCCTCGAGCGAGCAAGAGAATGTGATAATATAGGCTAAGTTTATAAAATGGAAAAGCATTCTTATATGTTTGCATCAAATACCCCTTGCATCAAATATCCTACTCCTTGCATCAAATATCCTACTCCGTGAAAGTTGTGTATTGATTATATATAGCATATGTGATGAATGATGATCACTGCAATGAACAGCTGCAGTGTTGTTCATTGGGTCACCCCATATCATAGAATTGGCTACGTGAAAGTTTATAAAGACAGAAAGCGGACACGTGGAATTATTTAATTTGGATGGATGGTTGACATGACAGAAAGGTAGGCGTATATTTTTATATCTAAATTGTGGGTTGAAACTTTCTAGAGCTCGTTGTGTGTTGTTTCGCGCACGGGACTCACGCCTGGATGGACTCGTGCCTGGTCAAAACTTTATAGCCTTTTGTGAAATATATTCAAAAATTCTAACAAAATACACCAGTGACATAATTTAAGAGAAAAACATATTTAGAGCACAGCATTTTCTGATTGGTTTCCAGAGAATTGAAAGAGAGAAAAAGGTGTGCTGTGTTGGGTGATGTCTGATGCAGGCTATTTTGAAAATGGCCGGTGTGTTGTGTTTATAAGGAGACCCCTCGTGCGTGTGTTGTTGCATGAGCAGTAAGCCCACCCATGGGCTGCTGTTTCCTCCTTGCTTGGCAGAGATCTCAGAAAAGGTCAAATTGCGAAACCACAACCCAAATGTATCACATAAAAAGGTATATGCCATATCTCACAATCGATTGGGCTTCCCGAATTTAGTATGTTCGCTGTGACAGAAAGTTTCTTATTTTCGAAGATTTGCGTTATTCCACAAAGTTATATCCAGCGCTGCAGTGAGTGGGGGGCTGCATAACGAAGATGTGGCTCTAGCTCTACCTTGCTCTCCCGATTGAGAGATGTGCACACTTTGACAGACAGTCCAACAACGAGTCAGAGGAGTTTAGGAACTTAGATTTCGTACAGTAGCTTGGTTCACCTAGTGTACGCTTCACCTGGTCACCCAAACCAACTCATGAGGATCGAGGCTTTCCCATGAGGATGGATACAAATCAGATTGTCCCTTTCCCCATAGCCAGATAGCGCCACAACAAGGGTCAGCGCTTGCGGGGGGAACACGGCTCAAGCCAAGCGTGAGCAAAGGGCTCGGTCACGAACACACCGTCTCTCCACACTGATGGCTTGGAAGGCTGGCTGATGTGACATTTAGAGGCAACACGCCCCTGTGCACACTGCTAGAGTGGCATAGAAAGATAGATAGTCAGGGAAGATGGCAGCACAGCCTTGTGTTAACCGCATCGACCCTATAGATGTCACTGTGCAACAAAAGGTCACAGCGCTAATTAGCAGAAAGATGTATGGTATATTTACCACTAAAACACAGACACTAAGGATGTGTGGACAAGAATTTGCTGTGCCACGGATGCATACAGTATACATGGACTATTGTACTGCATACGCCTCTGTATGTACAGGCCCAAAGAATAATTGCAGAGTCAAATCTGGCAGGCAGAGGTCATAACGGAACTGTAGAGGGCACGAGCACAGTCATCATGGTACAATCCAGGGCTGTCCTGTCACTCTGATTCAAAATGGTGCCCAGAGATCAGAGGAAGACCACCAACAACGTCTGTCTTTGTACTACCCCGGCGCTCCCTCTCTTCATCTTCTGTTGGACTACGCCAGGCTGCCCCCATAAAAAAAAATAGCACTCCCCACTCCCTGAGGCTGGGCAGCCGAAACAGGAAGGTAAACATGTCCACTGTAGTGGAGCTCAGACCACACAGACACTTCGCTCTGGGTTACAGTTGTCCTACACCACTCTGCTCCCACCGGCAACACGCCAGTACAAAGTAGGTCTGACCAACCTTCACCGCAAATATCTACTTCATATAAAACCCATAGTGTTTTTTTTATTTTTTACCCTCTGTGGAAAGGGTAACCCAAATCGGGGTTAAACGTCTAACTTGCTCCACCTGCCCAAATGACTCACCCTCTAGTCAGAATATCATCTAGCGGTGACCCCTGAGATTTTGACGGTTGATTTCTCTTGTCGTGTTCGGGGGGAAACCCGACTATCTATGGTGTGCTGGGTTGAACAGGACTCATTTTCGGAGGAGTCGAGACTTGCAGACAGGGTTTGGGAAAGGGAGGGGGTATTTCTTTGGAGTCTTGTAATAGCGTAGAATAAAGAATGGATAGGATCCATATCCTTTCTGGTGCTCCCCACAAAATGTAAATAGGGATGGATTTCACCAAGGTTGTAAAATGCATTTCTCATGATTGGACCTTTTATTCTCTACAGCTGTCATCTTTGCACTAATGCAAACACTTTTAAATGTAGCACACAGAGAGCCTTTGAGGCTGTGTTTAGACAGGCAGCTCAATTCAGAATTATTTTCACTAATCTGTCTTTTGACAGATCAGATCACCTCTGAAAAAGATCTGATGTGATAAGATCTGATGTGATAGTGAAGACCAATTAGTGGACAAAATATCAGAATTGGGCTGCCTGTGTAAACGCAAATGAGTGACACAAATGTGTCTTAACAATATTATTTTAAACTTCCCAACTAAGCAGTTTTTTTAATACCACTTTAAATGGTAGTTTCTCAAATGGTGAATATCATGATTCAAGACATTCTGATGCAGCAGTTAATGTATCCTTGTTCAGCTGCTACATTGACACCTTATGCCAACTGGCACTGCATAGACTTTCCATTAATGCACTTGGATAATGCATTGAAGAAATCCAAGCTAAAGCGACAAGTAAGCATGAACAACCTTGCCCACAAGGTATTCAACTGACAATCTTGTCATCACAATTCTGCTTTTCAATAACTATTTATGTTATGGACAATTAAGAATTTCATACCAACTGAATGCAGAAAAGTTTTTTCCTAAGTGAGTAATAAATACATGGAGGTATCTGTAAGATGTCCCATTGTTACACTGTACAAAGCTGCAGTGGCTTGCTTGGCAAATTAACAGTTATTTAATTTAAACAATTCCAAAGCATCTGTCGCCTGAGAAATCAGGCCGTTGGTCTGCGGTACATTTCCGCTCCGAGCCTGTTCTGTGCTCGTGAGGCGCAACTACCAAAGCCCCGTTCCTTTGGGATGCGTGGGCGGACGAGGTGCATTTTCAACACTTCCCATCTCTATGTGGATGCTCTTCCTGATTCTTCCTGTGGTCCCTTGAAAACGCTGCATATCCTTCTTGAAAATGACAAGGTCTGAAGGGCCTGGGCGATCAGATGTAACAACTGTGTGTGTGTGTGTGTCTTTGTGTGTTTATAAGTAGTAGTGTGAACGTTTAAACGTTAAAACATTTAAACAAAATTGGTATTGTTAATGTTAAAACATTTTTGTTGTTGTTATATTTTAACAAAATTAAAATCACAGTGCAGTTATCACAAAACTACCACTAACAGGTCCCGATCATCATCATAAAGGGAACATTTCAAATTAAATACCTAACGCAACAATGCTGTAATGTTAGTAGGAGATATGCATCTTTAAAATTATTTGCCACAGATATAAAGCGCTCTGCACGTCATCGTTGTTAACAGTTGGAAAAATGGAAAGGCAAGCGACAGCAGCGAAGTCCTGTATAGCAATACTTTGAGAAGTGAAATGAGAAGCTGGTGAAATGCAAACTTCGTGAAAGGTGGAATTGAGGTACAGTATTGGTAGTACAGGTGCTTTAAATTATGGTGGAAAATAAGTATTTGGTCACCTACAAACAAGCAAGATTTCTGGCTCTCACAGACCTGTAACTTCTTCTTTAAGAGGCTCCTCTGTCCTCCACTCGTTACCTGTATTAATGGCACCTGTTTGAACTTGTTATCAGTATAAAATACACCTGTCCACAACCTCAAATAGTCACACTCCAAACTCCACTATGGCCAAGACCAAAGAGCTGTCAAAGGACACCAGAAACAAAATTGTAGACCTGCACAAGGCTGGGAAGACTGAATCTGCAATAGGTAAGCAGCTTGGTTTGAAGAAATCAACTGTGGGAGCAATTATTAGGAAATGGAAGACATACAAGACCACTGATAATCTCCCTCGATCTGGGGCTCCACGCAAGATTTAATAATTTAATTTTAATATGCCATTTAGCAGACGCTTTTATCCAAAGCGACTTACAGTCATGCGTGCATACTTTTTTTTTTGTGTATGGGTGGTCCCGGGGATCGAACCCACTACCTTGGCGTTACAAGCGCCGTGCTCTACCAGCTGAGCTACTGAGAATCTACTAAGATCTCACCCCGTGGGGTCAAAATGATCACAAGAACGGTGAGCAAAAATCCCAGAACCACACGGGGGGAACTAGTGAATGACCTGCAGAGAGCTGGGACCAAAGTAACAAAGCCTACCATCAGTAACACACTACGCCGCCAGGGACTCAAATCCTGCAGTGCCAGACGTGTCCCCCTGCTTAAGCCAGTACATGTCCAGGCCCGTCTGAAGTTTGCTAGAGTGCATTTGGATGATCCAGAAGAGGATTGGGAGAATGTCATATGGTCAGATGAAATCAAAATATAACTTTTTGGTAAAAACTCAACTCGTCGTGTTTGGAGGACAAAGAATGCTGAGTTGCATCCAAAGAACACCATAGCTACTGTGAAGCATGGGGGTGGAAACATCATGCTTTGGGGCTGTTTTTCTGCAAAGGGACCAGGACGACTGATCTGTGTAAAGGAAAGAATGAATGGGGCCATGTATCGTGAGATTTTGAGTGAAAACCTCCTTCCATCAGCAAGGGCATTGAAGATGAAACGTGGCTGGGTCTTTCAGCATGACAATGATCTCAAACACACCACCCGGGCAACGAAGGAGTGCCTTCGTAAGAAGCATTTCAAGGTCCTGGAGTGGCCTAGCCAGTCTCCAGATCTCAACCCCATAGAAAATCTTTGGAGGGAGTTGAAAGTCCGTGTTGCCCAGCGACAGCCCCAAAACATCACTGCTCTAGAGGAGATCTGCATGGAGGAATGGGCCAAAATACCAGCAACAGTGTGTGAAAACCTTGTGAAGACTTACAGAAAACGTTTGACCTGTGTCATTGCCAACAAAGGGTATATAACAAAGTATTGAGAAACTTTTGTTATTGACCAAATACTTATTTTCCACCATAATTTGCAAATAAATTCATTAAAAATCCTACAATGTGATTTTCTGGATTTTTTTTCTTCTAATTTTGTCTGTCATAGTTGACGTGTACCTATGATGAAAATTACAGGCCTCTCTCATCTTTTTAAGTGGGAGAACTTGCACAATTTGTGGCTGACTAAATACTTTTATTTCCCCACTGTGTATATATACATACAGATAAATAAATCATGCATATCTTAATTTATTCCCACAATTAACGAATAATATGCGTAATAATGTTGGAAGTTCATACAAAGGATTGTTACCTATAACCAGGAATGGCATTACAAAAATGAAATTTTTGGCAAACAATCATTATTTTGGCAAACAATTATTGTGATTCATACTCCCCACAAACAACCACAAGCTCAGCTGTTCAACATTTATTCCATCCCCGTGCCCAACTAAAGAGAAGACTTGATGAGAAGGCACAGAAAATTGAGCAAGAATTGGGAGATTTGATTAACCAATGTCAAGTCCTAACTGATGGCTCTCAGACACACCCCCCTACCCTGAAACACACACACACACACTGGTCCCCCGTTGTGACCATTTTCCCAAGCCTCTCTGTGCAGTCAGACTTTTTGATTATTTTGTGCCAACAGGGCCACAATAATTTGCCCCCTCTCTGATTGTCAGAGTGTGACCCCCTCCCAATGGGTTACTGCAGCCAGTGTTGCCAGCACTGCCACTACCTGGGTGGGGGTACCCCACCGGCTAGGTACAAGGTCATCAAGGTTCTCATTAGAAGCTTTGAGAAATTCCTTGTATATTATGCTCATCCATCCGGGAGCTTTGGCTTTATTGGACCAACTCTGCCAGGCAGGCTCAGACTCTTGAGGGCGCGATGCTGCTTTAGTGGGTCTCTGACCCCGTTTATCTTTCTGTCTTGGCTGCATATAGGCTACCTGCAGTAGCCTTATAAAACATATAAGGATTTCTCCTTAGTGTGTGGGACGCTCAGGTGTCTGACGAATGTTTTTTATGACAGTGTCTTTCTTTCTTTCTTTCTTTCTTTCTTTCTTTCTTTCTGCTTGCATTTTGATGTGTGTATTTTCTATAATTTCTGTAATTCAGGGCTCATCTGTAAAAGAGACCTTGGTCTCAGTATGACTCCCTGATAAAAACAATATATATATATATATACATATACATACACACTGCTCAAAAAAATTAAAGGGAACACTTAAACAACACAATGTAACTCCAAGTCAATCACACTTCTGTGAAATCAAACTGTCCACTTAGGAAGCAACACTGATTGACAATACATTTCACATGCTGTTGTGCAAATGGAATAGACAACAGGTGGAAATTATAGGCAATTAGCAAGACACCCCCAATAAAGGACTGGTTTTGCAGGTGGTGACCACAGACCACTTCTCAGTTCCTATGCTTCCTGGCTGATGTTTTGGTCACTTTTGAATGATGGCGGTGCTTTCACTCTAGTGGTAGCATGAAACGGAGTCTACAACCCACACAAGTGGCTCAGGTAGTGCAGCTCATCCAGGATGGCACATCAATGCGAGCTGTGGCAAGAAGGTTTGCTGTGTCTGTCAGCGTAGTGTCCAGAGCATGGAGGCGCTACCAGGAGACAGGCCAGTACATCAAGAGACGTGGAGGAGGCCGTAGGAGGGCAACAACCCAGCAGCAGGATTGCTACCGCCGCCTTTGTGCAAGGAAGAGCAGGAGGAGCACTGCCAGAGCCCTGCAAAATGACCTCCAGCAGGCCACAAATGTGCATGAGTCTGCTCAAACGGTCAGAAACAGACTCCATGAGGGTGGTATGAGGGCCCGACGTCCACAGGTGGGGGTTGTGCTTACAGCCCAACACCGTGCAGGACGTTTGGCATTTGCCAGAGAACACCAAGATTGGCAAATTCGCCACTGGCGCCCTGTGCTCTTCACAGATGAAAGCAGGTTCACACTGAGCACGTGACAGACGTGACAGAGTCTGGAGACGCCGTGGAGAACGTTCTGCTGCCTGCAACATCCTCCAGCATGACCGGTTTGGCGGTGGGTCAGTCATGGTGTGGGGTGGCATTTCTTTGGGGGGCCGCACAGCCCTCCATGTACTCGCCAGAGGTAGCCTGACTGCCATTAGGTACCGAGATGAGATCCTCAGACCCCTTGTGAGACCATATGCTGGTGCGGTTGGCCCTGGGTTCCTCCTAATCCAAGACAATGCTAGACCTCATGTGGCTGGAGTGTGTCAGCAGTTCCTGCAAGAGGAAGGCATTGATGCTATGGACTGGCCCGCCCGTTCCCCAGACCTGAATCCAATTGAGCACATCTGGGACATCCATCCACCAATGGCATGTTGCACCACAGACTGTCCAGGAGTTGGCGGATGCTTTAGTCCAGGTCTGGGAGAAGATCCCTCAGGAGACCATCCGCCACCTCATCAGGAGCATGCCCAGGCGTTGTAGGGAGGTCATACAGGCACGTGGAGGCCACACACACTACTGAGCCTCATTTTGACTTGTTTTAAGGACATTACATCAAAGTTGGATCAGCCTGTAGTGTGGTTTTCCACTATAATTTTGAGGGTGACTCCAAATCCAGACCTCCATGGGTTGATAAATTTGAATGACATTGATAATTGTTGTGAGATTTTGTTGTCAGCACATTCAACTATGTAAAGAAAAAAGTATTTAATAAGATTATTTCATTCAGATCTAGGATGTGTTATTTTAGTGTTCCCTTTATATTTTTGAGCAGTGTATATACACAGTAACAGTCAAAAGTTTGGACACACCTACTCATTCAAGGGTTTTTCTTTATTTTTTACTATTTTCTACATTGTAGAATAATAGTGAAGACATTAAAACTATGAAATAACACATATGGAATCATGTAGTAACCAAAGACTCTTCAAAGTAGCCACCCTTTGCCTTGATGACAGCTTTGCACACTCTTGGCATTCTCTCAACCAGCTTCATGAGGTAGTCAGTCACCTGGAATGCATTTCAATTAACAGGTGTGCCTTGTTAAAAGTTAATTTGTGGAATTTCTTTCCTTCTTAATGCGTTTGAGCCAATCAGTTGTATTGTGACAAGGTAGGGGTGGTATACAGAAGATAGCCCTATTTGGTAAAAGACCAAGTCCATATTATGGCAAGAACAGCTCAAATAAGCAAAGAGAAACAACAGTCCATCATTACTTTAAGAAATTAAGGTCAGTCAATCCGGAACATTTCAAGAACTTTGAAAGTCTTCAAGTGCAGTCTCAAAAACCATCAAGCGCTATGATGAAAACTGGCTCTCATGAGGACCACCACAGGAAAGGAAGACCCAGAGTTACCTCTGCTGCAGAGGATAAGTTCATTAGAGTTACCAGCCTCAGAAATTGCAGCCAAAATAAATGCTTCAGAGTTCAAGTCACAGACACATCTCAACATCAACTGTTCAGTGGGGACTGTGTGAATCAGGACTTCATGGTTGAATTGCTGGAAAGGAACCACTACTGAAGTACACCAATAAGAAGAATAGACCTGCTTGGGCCAAGAAACACGAGCAATGGACATTAGACCGGTGGAAATTTGTCCTTTGGTCTGGAGTCCAAATTGGAGATTTTTGGTTCCAACCGCTGTGTCTTTGTGAGACGCGGTGTGGGTGAACAGATGATCGCTGCATGCGTAGTTCCCACCGTAAAGAATGGAGGAGGAGGTGTTATAGTGTGGGGGTGCTTTGCTGGTGACACTGTCTGTGATTTATTTAGAATTCAAGGCACACTTAACCAGCATGGCTACCACAGCATTCTGCAGCGATACGCCATCCATCTGGTTTGGGCTTAGTGGGACTATGGTTTGGGCTTAGTGGGACTATCATTTGTTTTTCAACAGGACAATGACCCAACACACCTCCAGGCTGTTTAAGGGCTATTTTACCAAGAAGGACAGTGATGGAGTGCTGCATCAGATGACCTGGCCTCCACAATCCCCCGACCTCAACCCAATTGAGATGGTTTGGGATGAGTCGGACGGCAGAGTGAAGGAAAAGCAGCCAACAAGTGCTAAGCATATGTGGGAACTCCTTCAAGACTGTTGGAAAAGCATTCCAGGTGACGCTGGTTGAGAGAATGCCAAGCGTGTGCAAAGCTGTCATCAAGGCAAAGGATGGCTATTTGAAGTATCTCAAATATAAAATATTTGGTTACTACATGATTCCATACGTGTTATTTCATAGTTTTGATGTCTTCACTATTATTCTACAATGTCGAAAATACTAAAAATAAAGAAAAACACTTGAATGAATAGGTGTGTCCAAACTTTTGACTGGTACTGTATGTTCTGGTAATTGTGAGTTGGCTAGCCAGCTAGAAAGTGTAGCTAGCTAACACGCTAGCATCAAACCAAAACGTTGTCTAGAAACTTGCTTTTAGTTGCCTGGCTTGCTAGATTGACATAGCTATCCTAAATACATTACCGCAATTATAATTGCAGAAATGAAAGTAAAGTACAGGCTTTGTCGCCGGCAATACCTTTCAGATATAAAGAAAAGTCCCAAAAAAGTTGGTGGAATGCTAAATTTGGCGGGTTTTCGTCAATGTTTGAAAGGATAAGATAGTCCACTAACTCTGTCCAAAGAAATTGGTGCGTTTCAGTGCTGAGAGACATGAGGGATGAAAGGCCTGTGATGCTGATGACTGCTGCTGTTTTCCTTATGTTTACCATCATTTCCTCTCACAAACACGTCGCGGGCTGGAAAAGGCCAGCGAGCTTGGGCCTCCCGAGGCCTAGCTGCACAACCACACGCAGTGAAAAGACGGAGAGGGGGGGGGGGGGGGGGGGGGAGAGAGGAGAGAGAGAGAGAGAGAGAGAGAGAGAGAGAGAGAGAGAGAGGGGGAGAGAGAGAGAGAGAGAGAGAGAGAGAGAGAGAGATGAAGGGAGGGAGAGAGAGCTTGGTCTGCGCAGCCTGCAGACACCACGCAGCTCAAAGCTGATAGGAAGTGACGGGCTGCTGATTAGTCAACTCACAGCCCCGGCTACCAGTGGCTGTATGTGTACGGGGCTGCGCACACAGTGAACACACACATATTGAATAGAAACATACAGATTGAGAAGACACACACAAAATCCAACACACAGATCGTTCTAGCCCTGTATATATGCTGTGCTGCATGCTTAAAGGCATACAGTGAAAGTTTGCCTTTGCACGCACGCATGCATATTCCTTTGCGCGTGTGTGTGTGAGCACATGTATGAAGGGGGTATGTTGGTTACCTTGAGGAGATAGACGGGGATGTTGCTGAAGTCCACAGGGAGCTTGAGCAGGAAGCGAGCGGAGAACTCCCCTGTCTGGAACACGAGAGGCAAGGAAAATAACATCACACCGTGTACGGATGGAGAACACAGGTCATATTGAAACAACACAGGCACACTGCATGGGAATGATTAGGGATGGCTAAAGATGAGTGAATTGCAAATGAGATTTTAGAACCTGTTTGAATACATCTCATGTATATGTCTTAATGGGGCAATTTTTAGACAAATGAGAGGTATTTATTTCCTGATTTTAGGGAGCTATGGATGTTCAATGTGGTTAATTTGCTGACTAGCTAAATCTAAAAGATTAATTGGATTTGAGTAATTTAGCCTTTGAATATTTACTACAGTCTAGAAACACTTGAGGAATTATAAATGCTTTGAAATATATACTTTTTAGGCAGTAGTTCTGAAAGTAGCACTCACAAGCAAAAAATGGTCCCCGAAAATTGCATACGTGCACCACGTCATTACTCTCTCTCGGTCTGCTATGTGTGCATCTGTCTAGCTGTCACTCAAATGGTGAGGGGCTGAAGCTCATTGGCTCACTTCAAACTCAAATTGCTAAGGGGCTGGCCCACATGGGGGAAAATGGCGCAGCATAGCTTTCAAACTAGGTATTTTGTGGCTAATTGAGGTAAAACAGTAATTCTGCTCAGAGATTATGCATGTATGAACTACACATCAACACATCCAGCCCAAAGCGAGAGGTTTAAAAAATCCTTAGTAGTCGCAAAAGTTCGGAGTATGTCTAACAACTTCTCCAATTAAAATTATGTTAAAATGTATAAATAAATCAGATTAACAAATATACGACTAAAGGATTTAAGAGATGTAGAACAATAAAGCCGTCTTAAACATATCATTGTCTGTTACCCCACAGACCACACCAACCCTAACCACATCTGCAAAGACAGAACTTTCACATGTACACATTCAAAAGTTCCTAAAAATCCTCCTAGTTGTGCAACCTTTTGCATATTTTTTTTGTTGTTCATCAAGGCACATGTACAACACATTCTATTCCATAAAAGTAGTAGGTTAGTTAGTTGTGCAATATGGGTGTGTCTCGACACACACGCACACAGAGTATACACAGACATATACAGTGGGGAAAAAAAGTATTTAGTCAGCCACCAATTGTGCAAGTTCTCCCACTTATAAAGATGAGAGAGACCTGTCATTTTCATCATAGGTACACGTCAACTATGACAGACAAATTGAGGATAAAAAATCCAGAAAATCACATTGTAGGATTTTTAATGAATTTATTTGCAAATTATGGTGGAAAATAAGTATTTGGTCACCTACAAACAAGCAAGATTTCTGGCTCTCACAGACCTGTAACTTCTTTTTAAGAGGCTCCTCTGTCCTCCACTCGTTACCTGTATTAATGGCACCTGTTTGAACTTGTTATCAGTATAAAAGACACCTGTCCACAACCTCAAACAGTCACACTCCAAACTCCACTATGGCCAAGACCAAAGAGCTGTCAAAGGACACCAGAAACAAAATTGTAGACCTGCACCAGGCTGGGAAGACTGAATCTGCAATAGGTAAGCATCTTGGTTTGAAGAAATCAACTGTGGGAGCAATTATTAGGAAATGGAAGACATACAAGACCACTTATATTCTCCCTCGATCTGGGGCTCCACGCAAGATCTCACCCCGTGGGGTCAAAATGATCACAAGAACGGTGAGCAAAAATCCCAGAACCACACGGGGGGACCTAGTGAATGACCTGCAGAGAGCTGGGACCAAAGTAACAAAGCCTACCATCAGTAACACACTACTCCGCCAGGGACTCAAATCCTGCATTGCCAGACGTGTCCCCCTGCTTAAGCCAGTACATGTCCAGGCCCGTCTGAAGTTTGGGAGAATGTCATATGGTCAGATGAAACCAAAAGATAACTTTTTGGTAAAAACTCAACTCGTTGTGTTTGGAGGACAAAGAATGCTGAGTTGCATCCAAAGAACACCATACCTACTGTGAAGCATGGGGGTGGAAACTTCATGCTTTGGGGCTGTTTTTCTGCAAAGGGACCAGGACGACTGATCCGTGTAAAGGAAAGAATGAATGGGGTCATGTATCGTGAGATTTTGAGTGAAAACCTCCTTCCATCAGCAAGGGCATTGAAGATGAAACGTGGCTGGGTCTTTTAGCATGACAATGATCCCAAACACACCTCCCGGGCAACGAAGGAGTGGCTTCGTAAGAAGCATTTCAAGGTCCTGGAGTGGCCTAGCCAGTCTCCAGATCTCAACCCCATAGAAAATCTTTGGAGGGAGTTGAAAGTCCGTGTTGCCCAGCGACAGCCCCAAAACATCACTGCTCTAGAGGAGATCTGCATGGAGGAATGGGCCAAAATACCAGCAACAGTGTGTGAAAACCTTGTGAAGACTTACAGAAAACATTTGACCTGTGTCATTGCCAACAAAGTGTATATAACAAAGTATTGAGAAACTTTTGTTATTGACCAAATACTTAATTTCCACCATAATTTGCAAATAAATTCATAAAAAATCCTACAATGTGATTTTCTGGATTTCTTTTTCTCATTTTGTCTGTCAAAGTTGACATGTACCTATGATGAAAATTACAGGCCTCTCTCATCTTTTTAAGTGGGAGAACTTGCACAATTGGTGGCTGACTAAATACTTTTTTCCCCCACTGTACATACGTCCTTGCTCTGGAACATGCTTGGGGTGCCACATCCTGACCTAGCATAATCCGCCATTTCACATGGCGGTTCAGTGACAGCGACATTCACCTCGCTGCTGTTCTTTTATTATCCCTGTAGCCAGCTGAACTGGTGGCGTACAGCGGCTTGCGAAAGTATTCACCCCCCTTGGCATTTTTCCTATTTTGTTGCCTTACAACCTGGAATTAAAATATATTTTTTGGGGGGTTTGTTTCATTTGATTTACACAACATGCCTACCACTTTGAAGATGCAAAAAAAAATTGGGGGTGAAACAAACAAGAAATAAGACAAAAAAACAGAAAACTTAAGCGTGCATAACTATTCACCCCCCCAAAGTCAATACTTTGTAGAGCCACCATTTGCAGCAATTACAGCTGCAAGTCTTCTTCCCACGGGGGGCCAGTATGAAAAATGCATGCACTCACTAATTGTAAATCGCTCTGGATAAGAGCGTCTTCTAAATTACTAAAATGTCAATTGGATCACTAAAAATAGTATCTTGGGGTATGTCTCTATCAAGTTCAAGTTGGATGGGTTCTGCTGGTGTACAGCAATCTTTAAACCACACCACATATTATCCATTGGATTGAGGTCTGGGCTTTGACTAGGCCATTACAATACATTTAAATGTTTCCCCTTAAACCACTCAAGTTTTGCTTTAGCAGTATGCTTAGGGTCATTGTCCTGCTGGAAGGTGAACCTCCATCCCAGTCTTAAATCTCTGGAAGACTGAAACAGGTTTCCCTCAATAATTTCCCTGTATTTAGCGCCATCCATCATTCCTTCAATTCTGACCAGTTTCCCAGTTCCTGCCGATGAAAAACATCCCCACAGCATGATGCTGCCACCACCATGCTTCACTGTGGGGAGGGTGTTCTCGGGTGATGAGAGGTGTTGGGTTTGCGCCATACATAGTGTTTTCCTTGATGGCCAAAAAGCTAAATTTTTGTCTCATCTGACCAGAGTACCTTCTTCCATATGTTTGGGGAGTCTCCCACATGGCTTTTGGCGAACACCAAACATTTTTGCTTATTTTTTGCTTAAAGCAATGGCTTTTTTCTAGCCACTCTTCCGTAAAGCCCAGCTCAGTGGAGTGTATGGCTTAAAGTGGTCCTATGGACATATACTCCAATCTCCGCTGTGGAACTTTGCAGCTCCTTCAGGGTTATATTTGGTCTCTTTGTTGCCTCTCTGATTAATGCTCTCCTTGCCTGGTCCGTGAGTTTTGGTGGGCGGCCCTCTCTTGGCAGGTTTGTTGTGGTGCCATATTCTTTCAATTTTTTAATAATGGATTTAATGGTGCTCCGTGGGATGTTCAAAGTTTTAGATACATTTTTATAACCCAACCCTGATCTGTACTTCTCCACAACTTTGTCCCTGACCTGTTTGGATAGCTCCTTGGTCTTCATGGTGCCGCTTGCTTGGTGGTGCCCCTTGCTTAGTGGTGTTGCAGACTCTGGGGCCTTTCAGAACAGGTGTATATATACTGAGATCATGTGACAGATCATGAGACACTTAAATAAAGTCCACCTGTGTCCAATTTAACTAATTATGTGACTTCTGAAGGTAATTTGTTGCACCAGATCTTATTTAGGGGCTTCATAGCAAAGGTGGTGAATACATATGCATGCACCACTATTCCGTTATTTATTTTTTAGAATTTATTTAAACAAGTTATTATTTTCATTTCACGTCACCAATTTTGACAATTTTGACATACTAGGCACAACTCTGGGTGGATGTAACTATGCCCTGTGACGTGGCCGTATCATGGCTGTATCATGTAGCGTACCCAGCTGTTCTTGTGGCCGGCGTAGATCTCCATGCTGCGGCCGTAGTTTGGGTCCTCCAGTAGGCTGTCATACTCAAAGAGCAGCCGGGAGCTCTCGCGCAGACGCTGGCACTGGTACTGATGGTACTGCTGGATCAGCTCCTTCACCAGCTGCAGCAGGCACTCCGGGTCCCCCGCATCCCACTGGAGCAGGTGCTGGATAGAGTGTGAGAGGAGAGGTTATTAGAAGGGTTTTTGTTTAGGCCTGGGTGCAAAGTGAACAAAATAGCTTGAACAAAATAGCTGAAAGCCTATACAACTCAAAGCATGCTCATTTCGGGTCGACATAGTCTCAGTTCATGATCTATGTTATCCATTCTGGAAACTAACTGCAGAGAACTATCCTTTGAGGCACTGACTTGACTTCATCTACAATAGAGGCCATTTAGCCATGTCAGAGGAGGGATATCAATTGAACGATGAAAGGAATTGAAAACACAATGGCGAGTAAAGATCCCCATTGGCTCACTAGAGCCCAATTGACATCTATTACGGGAATAATCCCAAACTATCCCAATTACCCCCTCTCTTCCTCCTGCATCACAGGAACATGACAGCGCCACAGGATTTCCTGAAGAGACACGGAGCTGCGTCGGTTCGCAGTGAATGCTTTCATCATTCCCACCCCCAATGCCATATATCTGACCTCATTTGCCAAAATGGTTGAAAGAACTGGCTCAAAAAGGAGGAAAGGAAAGTCACCAAGATAAATGTTAGTGATGGGAAGGAACATTGTTTCAAGGAAGTGGATAAAGATAGCAGGGACCTGGCCAATATTTTTTGGTACACAATGGTTTGGTTAGGCATCAAAGACTAGACTTTGTGAGCCCCAAATTGAATATTTTCCACTTGGACAACAGAGAGGGGGGAAAATATACTATGGGTGTTGTTAGGACATTCCTAATCATTAAATGAAACACATGTTGAGTGCATTTTGAGCTCCAGTTCCATGCAGTGTAGGCTATTTTGAGTAGTGGACTGAGTGACCCTTGCGTGTCTGAACATTCCATTGTACATTTGCGATAACTCTCCTCCCATAAACAGGACTTCATTTGCATGAGCAATGCCAAATTCCCCTGACCTCGCTGACTGAAGCTGACAACAGGTATGCAAATGTACTGTAAAAAACAAGCAACCACCTGTCACGAATCGGTAAGCCTTGTTACCCAACAACTTCCACTGGCCTAATTATACAAAACAGGATGTTTTCCTACCTCTGAAGGGGTGTAATTGTTCACTGACGCATGAGGAATAAAAATACACAATTTTGATTTGAGTGACACTGAGTGAAAACAAATAGCAGGAAACGTGTCAGCCAAATGGATGACTGAGCCTAGATGCAACTTAGCACTACGCACTGGTCTACTGTCAACTTTATATTATTTTTTGGGGGGGGGGGGGGTAGATCAGCTTAATATTGCAGATAGATTGTAACTTCCATCAATGTAATTGTCTGCATCACTTCCAATCCACCATGTTTTTTTTATATATATTCCCCTTTATTACTCTCCAACCCCGCCACCCGTTCCCTACTTGGGGTAAACTAGTGAACAACAATGCTTAGGCCTCTACTTCCAGCTTATACTTACTATCTATATTTTATGGACACAGTCAATTTTACAATAATTATATTTATATTCTTTCTCTCCTGAACTACTACTCTCAACCTCTCCGATCATTTTCATGATGTCCATCCGGTTTGCTTCTATATGCCATATCTTTCTAACTGAGCTCTTTCCCAAAAGCAACCTATATACTTATTATGGACACAGTATGCTTACATTATTAGTTAACTTGTTATTATTTTGTTGTTAGTTGTTATTAGTCCTATCCTTCAGCTCCATTCAACACCGATTTTGCAGGTTTTCCTACTTACAAAGCATGTAGAGGTCTGTCATTTTTATCATAGGTACACTTCAACTGTGAGAAACGGAATCTAAAACAAAAATCCAGAAAATCACATTGTATGATTTTAAAGTAAATAATTTGCATTTTATTGCATGACATAAGTATTTGATACATCAGAAAAGCAGAACTTAATATTTGGTACAGAAACCTTTGTTTGCAATTACAGAGATCATACGTTTCCTGTAGGTCTTGACCAGGTTTGCACACACTGCAGCAGGGATTTTGGCCCACTCCTCCTTACAGACCTTCTCCAGATCCTTCAGGTTTCGGGGCTGTCGCTGGGCAATACGGACTTTCAGCTCCCTCCAAATATGTTCTATTGGGTTCAGGTCTGGAGACTGGCTAGGCCACTCCAGAACCTTGAGATGCTTCTTACGGAGCCACTCCTTAGTTGCCCTGGCTGTGTGTTTTGGGTCGTTGTCATGCTGGAAGACCCAGCCACGACCCATCTTCCAAGATCTCGCGATACATGGCCCCATCCATCCTCCCCTCAATACGGTGCAGTCGTCCTGTCCCCTTTGCAGAAAAGCATCCCCAAAGAATGATGTTTCCACCTCCATGCTTCACGGTTGGGATGGTGTTCTTGGGGTTGTACTCATCCTTCTTCTTCCTCCAAACACGGCGAGTGGAGTTTAGACCAAAAAGCTCTATTTTTGTCTCATCAGACCACATGACCTTCTCCCATTCCTCCTCTGGATCATCCAGATGATCATTGGCAAACTTCAGACGGGCCTGGACATGCGCTGGCTTGAGCAGGGGGACCTTGCGTGCGCTGCAGGATTTTAATCCATGACGGTGTAGTGTGTTACTAATGGTTTTCTTTGAGACTGTGGTCCCAGCTCTCTTCAGGTCATTGACCAGGTCCTGCCGTGTAGTTCTGGGCTGATCCCTCACCTTCCTCATGATCATTGATGCCCCACGAGGTGAGATCTTGCATGGAGCCCCAGACCGAGGGTGATTGACCGTCATCTTGAACTTCTTCCATTTTCTAATAATTGCGCCAACAGTGGTTGCCTTCTCACCAAGCTGCTTGCCTATTGTCCTGTAGCCCATCCCAGCCTTGTGCAGGTCTACAATTTTATCCCTGATGTCCTTACACAGCTGTCTGGTCTTGGCCATTGTGGAGAGGTTGGAGTCTGTTTGATTGAGTGTGTGGACAGGTGTCTTTTATACAGGTAACGAGTTCAAACAGGTGCAGTTAATACAGGTAATGAGTGGAGAACAGGAGGGCTTCTTAAAGAAAAACTAACAGGTCTGTGAGAGACGGAATTCTTACTGGTTGGTAGGTGATCAAATACTTATGTCATGCAATAAAATGCAAATTAATTACTTAAAAATCATACAATGTGATTTTCTGGATTTTTGTTTTAGATTCCGTCTCTCACAGTTGAAGTGTACCTATGATAAAGATTACAGACCTCTACATGCTTTGTAAGTAGGAAAACCTGCAAAATCGGCAGTGTATCAAATACTTGTTCTCCCCACTGTATATTTCAACTGTACTGTGATGTTTTACAAAAATTCTGAACCTTTCAATTCTCACTGTCAACTTACTTGGCGTAGTAGAGGAAACTCAATAGTTAAAAATGTGGCATACAAGTGTGAGAGGATTGGGGAAAACAGTGGCAGTGACTTAATGAGTTTGTCAAAGTTTTTTGATTTTTAAATGACAGTGCTCTTGTTTTTTTCAGCCTGATTTTTGTCTGCAGGCTTAGCTGAAACACACATACGGATGGAGAGAGGAGAGGAGGAGAAAGGTGAGGGAGAAGGAAGATCCATGGCGCTTGAGCTGGAGCTTGATCATTTGAGTGAGACTTACAGTAAGCAAATCATCATTACGGACAGGACTCACAACAACACTTGGACGGGCAAGACGGCAGAACTTCACGGATCAAATCAAAGTCATTCAGTACAAAATGGAGTGGAGTGTTGAACATGTGTAGCCTACATAAATGGATATTTTCTTTGGAAGACAATATAGTCTAATAACCATATTCATATTATTTTGATCAGTTCACAGCAAGTTTGTCTTTGAGGGCACTCTGCATCAGTTCAGGTCAGTCCCATTTCAAAGCCGGTCAATCCAGGCTTGAATTGGATGAACTTTGAACCGGAAATGCCATTGTCACACTTATATCTCAGTTTCAGTTCTTTGTTTGGTATGGAAATCAAACTGATCTCAACTCTGGTGAACTAAGTCCATGAACACAGCCCTAAAAGCTACCGTGAAGAAGTGAAAGCTAACCCTGTCACTGACCCATTCTGAAAGCTGATCCCAAGCCAATGGCCAAACTGGGACTAGACAACAACAAACAATTGAGTCATGGTGATGACATAACCGCAATTCCAGTCTGATGACAGCTGGTCCAATGTGTATTATCTGCTCATGCTGCGGTCTGTATGCATCACTCTGTTTCTTTGACGTGTTGTATAGCAGTTCTGTCAACCGGCCATAGGTTGGTCCAGTTGTAGAGCGAATTTATAGATAAAGCAACTACTATAACAGTGAGTGTGTGGATAAGGAGGGTCATAGGTACCAAAAGTAGCCCATACCAACCCTCCTGCATTGGGGAGTAATGATGACACAAGGCCATTATTTGACCTCCATCAACTTATCTGCTTGTCTGACTGTTTAGGTCAGTCTGTCTGTCCATATCACATCAGAAGCTTCCATTGTTTCCTATTGGACCACGCCCCACCTCCTGCCATCGAACAAGGAAGCAGAGGGCAAGGCAGGCCACTCAGTACCGGTGACCTCATCATCCTGACCCGCGAGTGGTTACCAGTAACATCGGGCTTCCCGAAATGAGGGGGCGATACAAACAAGGACGGGCATTGTCCAAAGAGGCAGCGTGATCGCCCAGAGGCAAGAACGAGCTGAAACTGAGGAGGGACTGAGAGGAAGTGCTGTGTCAGGATTGTGATATCACATATCACTGAAACTTCACTGAGGAGGAAGGGAGAGGGAGGGGGAAAGGGAGCAGAGGGAAAAGAGAGAGGAAGAGAAATAAATAGGCAAGAGCTGAGGGGCAGGGATATACTACTAATATAAGGAAAACTTTCTCTTGACAAACCATTAGGCGTACTTTTGGGGCTCACAGCTTGTAGAACGGCAATGTAATTGATTCTTAAGTCTAGACTTTCACAATGGTGTAATTAAAAAGGTAGGACTACATCAGAGATCATCAACTAGATTCAGCCGTGGGCCGATTTTTTCTTGAGCGGATGGTCGGGGGGCCAGAACATAATTACAAATAATTTGCAGACCGCAAAAAGCCCAAACAGATTTAATGTTAGACTAAAACATAATAATTTCAAACATTGCTTACATTTGTATACGATCACGTTTCTCTCTATTATGCGTGGGAATACTTGGGAACAGATTTCTTAAATTAAAATCACTTGGTGCGGATTTTGTGGTGTGTTTAGTCTATTTTGTCATCCCCAAAAATTATATATATATATATATATATACACATACATACACACACAGTGGGGATAACAAGTATTTGATCCACTGCGGATTTTGCAGGTTTTCCTACTTACAAAGCATGTAGAGGTCTGTAATTTTTATCATAGGTACACTTCAGCTGTGAGAGACGGAATCTAAAACAAAAATCCAGAAAATCACATTGTATGATTTTTAAGTAATTAATTTGCATTTTATTGCATGACATAAGTATTTGATCACCTACCAACCAGTAAGAATTCCGTCTCTCACAGACCTGTTAGTTTTTCTTTAAGAAGCCCTCCTGTTCTCCACTCATTACCTGTATTAACTGCACCTGTTTGAACTCGTTACCTGTATAAAAGACACCTGTCCACACACTCAATCAAACAGACTCCAACCTCTCCACAATGGCCAAGACCAGACAGCTGTGTAAGGACATCAGGGATAAAATTGTAGACCTGCACAAGGCTGGGATGGGCTACAGGACAATAGGCAAGCAGCTTGGTGAGAAGGCAACAACTGTTGGCGCAATTATTAGAAAATGGAAGAAGTTCAAGATGACGGTCAATCATCCTCGGTCTGGGGCTCCATGCAAGATCTCACCTCGTGGGGCATCAATGATCATGAGGAAGGTGATGGATCAGCCCAGAACTACACGGCAGGACCTGGTCAATGACCTGAAGAGAGCTGGGACCACAGTCTCAAAGAAAACCATTAGTAACACACTACGCCGTCATGGATTAAAATCCTGCAGCGCACGCAAGGTCCACCTGCTCAAGCCAGCGCATGTCCAGGCCCGTCTGAAGTTTGCCAATGACCATCTGGATGATCAAGAGGAGGAATGGGAGAAGGTCATGTGGTCTGATGAGACAAAAATAGAGCTTTTTGGTCTAAACTCCACTCGCCGTGTTTGGAGGAAGAAGGATGAGTACAACCCCAAGAACACCATCCCAACCGTGAAGCATGGAGGTGGAAACATCATTCTTTGGGGATGCTTTTCTGAAAAGGGGACAGGACGACTGCACCGTATTGAGGGGAGGATGGATGGGGCCATGTATCGCGAGATCTTGGCCAACAACCTCCTTCCATCAGTAAGAGCATTGAAGATGGGTCGTGGCTGGGTCTTCCAGCATGACAACGACCCGAAACACACAGCCAGGGCAACTAAGGAGTGGCTCCGTAAGAAGCATCTCAAGGTCCTGGAGTGGCCTAGCCAGTCTCCAGACCGGAACCCAATAGAAAATCTTTGGAGGGAGCTGAAAGTCCGTATTGCCCAGCGACAGCCCCGAAACCTGAAGGATCTGGAGAAGGTCTGTATGGAGGAGTGGGCCAAAATCCCTGCTGCAGTGTGTGCAAACCTGGTCAAGACCTACATGAAATGTATGATCATGATCTCTGTAATTGCAAACAAAGGTTTCTGTACCAAATATTAAGTTCTGCTTTTCTGATGTATCAAATACTTATGTCATGCAATAAAATGCAAATTGAATTACTTAAAAATCATACAATGTGATTTTCTGGATTTTTGTTTTAGATTCCGTCTCTCACAGTTTAAGTGTACCTATGATAAAAATTACAGACCTCTACATGCTTTGTAAGTAGGAAAACCTGCAAAATCGGCACTGTATCAAATACTTGTTCTCCCCACTGTATATATATATATATATATATATATATAGGGAGGTAGCTCAGTTGGTAGAGCATGGCGTTTGCAACGCCAGGGTTGTGGGTTCGATTCCCACAGGGGACCAGTATGAAAAAAATAAAATATAATGTATGCACTAACTGTAAGTTGCTCTGGATAAGAGCGTCTGCTAAATGACGTAAATGTAAATGTATACACACACATACACTACCAGTCAAAAGTTTGGACACAGCTATTCATTCAAGGGTTTTTCTTTACTTTTACTATTTTTACACTGTAGAATAATAGTGAAGACATTAAAACTATTAAATAACACATATGGAATCATGTAGTAACCAAAAAAGTGTTAAACAAATCAAAATATATTTTATATTTGAGATTCTTCAAATAGCCACCCTTTGCCTTGATGACAGCTTTGCACACTCTTGGCATTCTCTCAACCAGCTTCATGAGGTAGTCACCTGGAATGCTTTTCCAACAGTCTTGGAATTCCCACATATGCTGAGCACTTGTTGGCTGCTTTTCCTTCACTCTGAGGTCCAACTCATTCCAAACCATCTCAATTGGGTGAGGTCGGGTGATTGTGGAGGCCAGGTCATCTGATACAGCACTTGGTCAAATAGCCCTTACACAGCCTGGAAGTGTGTTTGGGGGTCATTGTCCTGTTGAAAAACAAATGATAGTCCCACTAAGCGCAAACCATGTGATGTTGTATCGCTGCGGAATGCCACCAGCAAAGCACACCCACACCGTCACACCTCCTCCTCCATGCTTCACGGTGGGAACCACACATGCGGAGATCATCCATTCACCTACTCTTCCAACTGCTGTCTCACAAAGAGACAGCAGTTGGAACCAAAAATCGCAAATTTGGACTCAACAGACCAAAGGACAGATTTCCACTGGTGTAATGTCCATTGCTCGTGTTTCTTGGCCCAAGCAAGTCTTTTCTAATTATTGGTGTCCTTTAGTAGTGGTTTCTTTGCAGCAATTTGACCATGAAGGCCTGATTCATGCAGTCCCCTCTGAAGAGTTGATGTTGAGATGCGTCCGTTACTTGAACTCTGAAGCATGTATTTGGGCTGCAATTTCTGAGGCTGGTAACTCTAATGAACTTATCCTCTGCAGCGGAGGTGACTCTGGGTCTTCTTTGCCTGTGGTGGTCCTCATGAGAGCTAGTTTCATCATAGAGCTTGATGGTTTTTGCGACTGCACTTGAAGAAACGTTCAAAGTTCTTAAAATGTTCTGGATTGACTGACCTTCATGTCTTAAAGTAATGATGGACTGTCATTTATTTTGCTTATTTGAGCTGTTCTTGTCATAATATGGACTTTTACCAAATAGGACTAACTTCTGTATACCAACCAACAACTGATTGGCTCAAATGCATTAAGAAATAAATAAATTCCACACATTAACTTTTAACAAGGCACACCTGTTAATTGAAACACACTCCAGGTGACTACCTCATGATGTTTGTTGAGAGAATGACAAGAGTGTGCAAAGCTGTCTTCAAGGCAAAGGGTGGCTACTTTGAATAATCTCAAATATAAAATATATTTTGATTTGTTTAAAACTTTATTGATTACTACATGATTCCATATGTGTTATTTCATAGTTTTGATGTCTTCACTATTATTCTACAATGTAGAAAATATTAAAAATAAAGAAAAACCTTGAATGAGTAGGTGTTTCCAAACTTTTGACTGGTACTGTATTTACATGTATATATATTTACATAAACATAAATGGGGGATTGGAAATTATGCAGACAATTACATTGATTGAAGCTACAATCTATCTGCAATATTAAAGCTGATCTAATCTATTCACAATGCCTGCACTGCATCCTGTGTTCCTTTCTGTAAACTCAAAACCAACAGAACACTATGGCAAGAAAATTAGATTAAATCAAATCAAATTTTATTTGCCATATGTGCCGAATACAACAGGTGTAGCCATTACCGTGAAATGCTTACTTACAGCCTTAACCAACAATGCATTTATTTTTTTATAAAAAAGTAAAATAAAACCACAACAAAAAAGTGTTGAGAAAAAAAGAGCAGAAGTAAAATAAAATAACAGTAGGGAGGCTACAGTGGGGGGAAAAGTATTTAGTCAGCCACCAATTGTGCAAGTTCTCCCACTTAAAAAGTTGAGAGAGGCCTGTAATTTTCATCATAGGTACACGTCAACTATGACAGACAAATTGAGAATTTTTTTTGCAAATTATGGTGGAAAATAAGTATTTGGTCACCTACAAACAAGCAAGATTTCTGGCTCTCACAGACCTGTAACTTCTTCTTTAAGAGGCTCCTCTGTCCTCCACTCGTTACCTGTATTAATGGCACCTGTTTTAACTTGTTATCAGTATAGAATACACCTGTCCACAACCTCAAACAGTCACACTCCAAACTCCACTATGGCCAAGACCAAAGAGCTGTCAAAGGACACCAGAAACAAAATTGTAGACCTGCACCAGGCTGGGAAGACTGAATCTGCAATAGGTAAGCAGCTTGGTTTGAAGAAATCAACTGTGGGAGCAATTATTAGGAAATGGAAGACATACAAGACCACTGATAATCTCCCTCAATCTGGGGCTCCACGCAAGATCTCACCCCGTGGGGTCAAAATGATCACAAGAACGGTGAGCAAAAATCCCAGAACCACACAGGGGGAACTAGTGAATGACCTGCAGAGAGCTGGGACCAAAGTAACAAAGCCTACCATCAGTAACACACTACGCCGCCAGGGACTCAAATCCTGCAGTGCCAGACGTGTCCCCCTGCTTAAGCCAGTACATGTCCAGGCCCGTCTGAAGTTTGCTAGAGTGCATTTGGATGATCCAGAAGAGGATTGGGAGAATGTCATATGGTAAGATTAAACCAAAATATAACTTTTTGGTAAAAACTCAACTCGTCGTGTTTGGAGGACAAAGAATGCTGAGTTGCATCCAAAGAACACCATACCTACTGTGAAGCATGGGGGTGGAAACATCATGCTTTGGGGCTGTTTTTCTGCAAAGGGACCAGGACGACTGATCCGTGTAAAGGAAAGAATGAATGGGGCCACGTATCGTGAGATTTTGAGTGAAAACCTCCTTCCATCAGCAAGGGCATTGAAGATGAAACGTGGCTGGGTCTTTCAGCATGACAATGATCCCAAACACACCGCCCGGGCAACGAAGGAGTGGCTTCGTAAGAAGCATTTCAAGGTCCTGGAGTGGCCTAGCCAGTCTCCAGATCTCAACCCCATAGAAAATCTTTGGAGGGAGTTGAAAGTCCGTGTTGCCCAGCGACAGCCCCCAAAACATCACTGCTCTAGAGGAGATCTGCATGGAGGAATGGGCCAAAATACCAGCAACAGTGTGTGAAAACCTTGTGAAGACTTACAGAAAACGTTTGACCTGTGTCATTGCCAACAAAGGGTATATAACAAAGTATTGAGAAACTTTTGTTATTGACCAAATACTTATTTTCCACCATAATTTGCAAATAAATTCATTAAAAATCCTACAACGTGATTTTCTGGATATATTTTTCTCATTTTGTCTGTCATAGTGGACGTGTACCTATGATGAAAATTACAGGCCTCTCTCATCTTTTTAAGTGGGAGAACTTGCACAATTGGTGGCTGACTAAATACTTTTTTCCCCCACTGTATATACAGGGGGGTACCGGTGCAGAGTCAATGTGCGGGGGCACCGGCTAGTTGTGGTAATTGAGGTAATATGTACATGTGGGTAGAGTTAAAGTGACTATGCATAAATAATTAACAGAGTAGCAGCAGCGTAAAAGGATAGGGTTGGGGTGGGGGGCAGTGCAAATAGTCTGGGTTGCCAAATTAGCTGTTCAGTAGTCTTATGGCTTGGGGTTAGAAGCTGTTGAGAAGTCTTTTGGACCTTGACTTGGCGCTCCGGTACCGCTTGCCGTGCGGTAGCAGAGAGAACAGTCTATGACTAGGATGGCTGTTTTTTTTGACAATTTTGAGGGCCTTCCTCTGACACCGCCTGGTATAGAGGTCCTGGATGGCAGGAAGCTTGGCCCCAGTGATGTACTGGGCCGTACGCACTACCCTCTGTAGTGCCTTGCGGTCGGAGGCCGAGCAGTTGCCATACCAGGCGGTGATGCAACCAGTCAGGATGCTCTCGATGGTGCAGCTGTAGAACTTTTTGAGGATCTGAGGACCCAAGTCTCCTGATGGGGAATAGGCTTTGTCGTGCCCTCTTCACAACTGTCTTTGTGTGTTTGGACCATGATAGTTCGTTGGTGATGTGGACACCAAGGAACTTGAAGCTCTCAGCCCCGTCGATGAGAATGGGGGTGTGCTCAGTCCTCTTTTTTTCCCCTGTAGTCCACAATCATCTCCTTTGTCTTGGTCACGTTGAGGGAGAGGCTGGTCTTAAATTCCTTTTTATAAAGGCCCAGTGCATTCAAAATTCTGCTTTCCTGTGTTTTGTATCATATTGTACAACAGCTGATGAAACTAACAATGTAAAATTGTGAAAGAATTTGATAAGCGTTATTTCCTTGTTGTTGGTTGAAAATACAATTTACACAGGACCTTATAAATTAGCCTGTTTGCATGGGCGGGAGTTTCGGCTTGCCTGGTGTCAGCACCAGGCAGTAAATTTGTTAATAGACCAATAACAAAGAGAGTTCCAAACCTCTCTGCCAATTACAGAAAACTCCCACTCAGACCACTCCCAGACAGCAACATTTCAGCTTGTGAAATAGTTTTTAGCTAAAAAGCTATTTCTGTCCATTTTAATAGAAAACTATTACAGTAAGGTACTTAATTGTTACCCAGAAATGACTTGATATTGATATAAAAAAAGGCTGAACTGGGCCTTTAACCAACATTTTAATAAAAAGGGGGGAAATTAATAGACTACATAAAGATGGTCAGAGGTCACTGACAAACACAATCTAGCTACAACCCTGAGAAGGTAGCATACAAATCCACAGGACTGGCTGTTGCAATTGCATTAGAGAAGACATTACATTTCTTTGGATGCAGTCTTGGGGAAATCACAAAAACGTTCAGCATATTGGGTATCATTTCAGATTCCCAAACAAATAGGGAGCTAATAGAACAAGGTCAGGAAAAACAGGGTACAACGTGTTAAATCACGTTCTCAAGAACAAGCTGTAGGCCTTAGAACCAGGCCCCCTCTCACTGAAGAGACCCAAGCTGACAGAATTATGTCTTCCTCTGCCATAAAGACTGTGCCGTGCCGATCCAATATTTCACTGAGCTGCAACGAGAGAAGGGTGCTGCCATCTGAAATTTAAAGATAATTATATAGGCCAAGGCAAATATTTGTTTGTGCATTTAATGTGATTTTTATATATGCTGGCAACCTGATCCAATAAATCGCTTGCTGACTTGAACGTATCAGGCATTAAAAACTCCCAAGTATTAAATTAATCTGCAGTTAGTCTTCTAATTGAAGTGTGGGCCCTGTTTCGCCCACGGAAAGTGCCAAGTCTAAGATCACACTAAATTGCTCTTGTCATGTGTTTAAAACACTTGGCAATGGAATCCTCAGCCCTGTAGTGTTCCTAAAAGACAACCACACGGCTTGGGCCCAACATGACATGACTTAATGGGGGGAAACAGTTGGACAATGGATGAAGACACACAAAACTTTTAGAATGTTTTTAATCCTTCAGGTATTGACTGAATTATAGTACATAAAACCTTTTACTGGCACAGACAAATAATGAATGAAGTTCAGGGATTTTGATGGGAATTCAGGTATTCAATTTCTCAACATAGAATGCACTTATTTATACATTTTGTAATGGTATCAGGTATAATTTTTATATTTTGTTTTAAAATAAAGAAAAGTATATGTGCCTCATTTGCATACATATTACTGGGTGTATTTGAATATACAGTGCCTTCGGAAAGTATTCAGACCTCTTGACTTTTTCAACATTTTGTTACGTTACAGCCTTATTCTATAACGGATTAAATAAAAATAAAATAAAAAACAGAAATACCTTATTTACATTAGTATTCAGACCCTTTGCTATGAGTTTCGAAATTGAGCTCGGGTGCATCCTGTTTCCATTGATCATCCTTGAGATGTTTCTACAACTTGATTGGAGTCCACCTGTGGTAAATTCAATTGATTTGACATTATTTGGAAAGGCACACACCTGTCTATATAAGGTCCCACAGTTGACAGTGCATGTCAGAGCAAAAACCAAGCCATGAGGTTGAAGGAATTGTTTGTAGAGCTCTGAGAGAGGATTGTGTCGAGGCACAGATCTGGGGAAGGGTACCAAAACATTTCTGCAGCATTTAAGGTCGCCAAAAACACAGTGGCCTCCATCATTCTTAAATGGAAGAAGTTTGGAACCACCAAGACTCTTCCTAGAGCTGGCCGCCCTGCCAAACTGAGAAATCGGGGGAGAAGGGCCTTGGTCAGTGGGGTGACCAAGAACCTGATGGTCACTCTGACAGAGCTCTAGAGTTCCTCTGTGGAGATGGGAGAACCTTCCAGAAGGACAACCATCTCTGCCACACTCCACCAATCAGGCCTTTATGGTAGAGTGGCCAGACGGAAGCCACTCCTCAGTAAAAGGCCCGACAGCAAGCTTGGAGTTTTCCAAAAGGCACCTAAAAACAAGATTCTCTGGTCTGATGAAACGAAGATTGAACTATTTGGTCTGAATGGCCAGGTTTCCTCAAGCGTCAAGTCTGGAGGAAACCTGGCACCATCCCTACGGTGAAGCATGGTGGCAGCATCATGTTGTGGGGATGTTTTTCACCGGCAGGGACTGGGAGACTAGTCAGGATCGAGGCAAAGATGAACGGAGCAAAGTACAGAGAGATCCTTGATGAAAACCTGCTCCAGAGCGCTCAGGTCCTCAGACTGGGGCGAAGGTTCACCTTCCAACAGGACAATGACCCTAAGCACACAGCCAAGACAACGCAAGAGTGGCTTCGGGACAAGTCTCTGAATGTCCTTGTGTGGCCCAGCCAGAGCCCGGACTTGAACCCAATCTAATATCTCTGGAGAGACCTGAAAATAGCTGTGCAGCGACGCTCCCCATCCAACTTGACAGAGCTTGAGAGGATCTGCAGAGAAGGGGAGAAACTCCCCAAATACAGGTGTACCAAGCTTGTAGCGTCATCCCCAAGTAGACTCGAGGCTGTAATCGCTGCCAAAGGTGCTTCAACAAAGTACTGAGTAAAGGGTCTGAATACTTATGTAAATGTTATATCCGTTTTTTTATTTTTTATAAATTAGCAAAGATTTCTAAAAACATGTTTTTTTTTATCTTTGTCATTATGGGGTATTGTGTGTAGATTGATGAGGGGGGAAAAAAACATTTTAATACATTTTAGAATAAGGCTGTAATGTAACAAAATGTGGAAAACTTCATGGGATCTGAATACTTTCCGAAGGCACTGTATGAATATATTAACATAAAGGGGTGGAAGAGGACTGCAACCACCAAAAACTTGCTCTGTCTAGGTCTACCTGCATTCACCTGTGCTGTCTAGATTGCCTCCTTAATTACTGCTGTGGTCACGTTCTGTTGCATAATTCAACACGTGTCAATAGCAGGATACCGTAAGATAAAAATTCAACACGCTTGGCTCTAGATAACACCTATCTATACATACTTTACATAGTTTGCGAGATCAGACATAATATCACTATAATCTGAGTGTTCGTTTTCGGAAGTTGCTTTCATTTCAGCGCATCAAATTTGTAAAAATGTCAACTGTAATTAAATGATTACTATTTTCAATTCCACATAAAATGTACACCCATCAAAATAGTTATCTTTCTTCCCTTTCTTGTGATGTAAGTGTTGATATGATGCGTTAAATGCCTGACGAAACTTTAGCGTTCTTATAGATGCAACGACGGAAAGACGATGTATTCCATTGAGCCCATTTCAGCCATTACCGGAGTGTGTTTGACAGGTCATTATAAACATTTCCGCGGTCGTAACGGCAAAAAACGACAGGCACAAGCAAGAGCATGAAAGAGTTGCAGGAGTACAATGAAAGCCATCAATCCAGCGAGATTTAAGTGCCAAGTGGATTTTGCACCCCTCAAACACAAGAAATAGATGGCTGAAAAAAGAGATCCTCAGGTGGGCGGGGCAGGCAAATTGCACATTTATCAAACCTCTCAGAGTAGGAGTGCTGATCTAGGACTAGGTCCTCCCTGTCCATAATAATCTGATTCATTATGATCTAAAAAGGCAAAGCTGATCCTAGATCAGCATAGGGCTGGGCAGTATACCGTATTTTACAATACATTGAGCTCTAAAAGTATTTTGTTGTTTTGGCTCTGTACTCCAGCACTTTGGATTTGAAATGATACAATGACTATGAAGTTAAAGTACAGATTGTCAGCTTGTTTCATTTGTTGTCATGTCAAACAACTCTGTATTCAAAGTGCCCACTATTACATTCTACCTATAGAATTAGAATAATCATTTTATTTCCATGATTCCAACAGTTCACCCAAGTGTTTTGATCTAAATCACATGTCAAATCGCAATTGCAAAATGTGGTTAAAAGTAAGGCCTAGATGTTTTGCCCATATCGTGGAGCCCTACGTGGCAGTGTGGAAATGATCTCAAATGAGATCAACTTTTGGTTGAAGTTTGATTGAACAGTATAAAACAAAATCAGAATGGAGAAAGCTCCATTGAAATCACTTAGAATGTATGAGTTGCCACCCTAAGGTCATGCACAACTCATAAAGCAAATGTATAACTGTTACTACTCAAAAACATAAAATACCGTCTAATACTGTCATACCGTCAAAAATTAAGAAAAATATAGATATTTTGGCCATATTGCCCAGCCATAGATCAGCACTCATACGCTGAGACACTCTATCCATACCTCCCCCTGGACCAAGATGGGGTATCCTGTCCTCACTTTGTCTCCATGCTTTGAACTCCAGCTTCCTCTTATCCATCAGCGGGTGTTAAACAATAGCCAAAACTCCTTCCCATCAACCGTCCCTGCTTGCAACAATAGCAGGCCGTAATGAAAACATTTCTATAAACTTTTCCCAGATCTGTCAGTGAGCTATGCCAATAATAAACTCTCCAATAAATGCCTGGGACTCGTTATTCCGCAAAGCAGGAAGGAAGAAGGGAACAACGGTTGGTACACTATGCCACGGTCACTGCGACTCTTTTTATGGGCCATCTGAGGTCCATTGTTACCACGTTTACTGAGATAGAGGTGGACCTAGCTAGACTAGTGAGGGGAGAGCACCCCTATGTCTAGCATTCAAGACTGTTTGGAGATAGAAGCAACGTTCACAACACGTTTAGATTATTCTTAATTTGGCTGAATCCCACTGAGAAAATGCAAAGTAGAACCAATGACTTATTGTACAAGACCAAACATCTCAGAGGAGTCTTAATCCTAACTAACGTCATCCTAATTTAACTTTGGTTAACCAAAACATTTAGTAATGCCAATGAAGGTCTACCTTAACAAGTATAAGAACTCATGCCCTTGTTTGACTGCAAAATAAGGCACGTAACAGCTGAGATTTATGAATCATCCCAACATACAATTAGAAAGGAAGAATGATCGGGGTGAATTTCTATACGCACGCACGCACACACAGACACACACACACACACACACACACACACACACACACACACACACACAATGCTCACAAGTGTGTGTAATATAAGCTAGATTCCTAGTTGCTTTTCACCTGTTTAGTCAACATACAGTAGGCAACCTTCAAACTCATAGCAAGGTCTCATAAGATGTGTCGAGTTGTCATTAAAATGCATGTGTTACAAATAACAGGAACATGTCATTCAAAATTCCAGTACTGTTTTTAAAGTAAAGGATAACTTGTCAGCCCTTAGCAGTTTGCAAGTGGTAATGCAAACAAGCAAGCACTCAGAAAGAAGAGTAGCAGGCACTCTGCTATCTCTCCCTAAACAAAGAAAAACATATGGTTGTTGTCGATGAAAGTGAAACTCGGTTTCAACTGTTAATTGTTTTGTTATATTATATATCTACGTCTGACAGATGTTACGTCTCTAAAAATGCTGGAAAGCCCTGGATTTGTCCTTAGACAAAATGTGGGGTTTCCCAAAGTGTTTCCTGGATATGGGTAATTCTCAATGCAGAGTCAGTGAGGTTGGAGTGAGTGTGCTATCGCTAGATCCGCTATCAGCTATTCACATATCATGACTGGCTCAAATGACTTATGCGGTCATTTTTTCTGTGATGGAGCTAGGCTGAGAGAAGCCTGCTGTCTCTGTACCAATCAGCTGTGGTGTCTGAAAGGACAGGCAGGGACATGCTGGGGTCTGTGGCAAGAGAGAGCGGGCATAGAGGCGACACAGGTAAACACACTCACAGTCACAGACACACATACACACACTGCTGCCCACACACATGCACGCACAAAAGCATGGACCAGGGATTTTTCTGCCATTAGGTAGGCAGGCCACCTAAGTGTTTTTTCAGGCCACCTCAGTCCAAACAGTTCGCAGCTGAGTCGTTGTTGCTCCTAGATGTTTCCACGTCACAATAACAGCACTTACAGTTGACCGGGGCAGCTCTAGCAGGGCAGAAATTTCACTAAATGACTTGTTGGAAAGGTGGCATCATATGACAGTGCCACGTTGAAAGTCACTGAGCTCTTCAGTCAGGCTATTCTACTGCCAATGTTTGTCTATGAAGATTGCATGACTGTGTGGAAATTAGCTTTAAAACTGCAAAAAAAAAAACTCTCAGCTCCATGGCAAAGTGTAGAATGGCAGGAAATGTGCTTTAAAACTGTAAAAAGCTATCTCAGCTACATGAAGAAATGTGTAGAATTGCAGGAAATTGGCAAAAAAATAAAATGTCTACACCGACAAGATGGGAGCCTCTAAATAAAAAAAAAAAAATGCAGCCGTGCCGACCGCGCCCATTACCGCGCCCATTACCACGCCCATTACCACGCCCACCACCTAAGCCCCTTTTTGATCCAGAATAAATCCTGTGCACACGCAAACACACACAGTGGTCGAAAAGCACTGGGAATAAAGCACTGGGAAAACTCCCGTCCCAAGGGGTTGTTTTAGTAAAGGTCTAGGCAGGTCTCAACCTGCCTAATGACTAATTACAGACACAAAGAGGGACAGAGGGGCATGCGAGTGGAGGTAGAAGGCATAGAGGGAGATTAGAGAGTATGGATAAGTGTAGCCCATATAGATGACTGTTGTTTTGAGCAAACAACCGTGGCACAAGTACATTTTTGTAATCCAGTTAACCAAATGTAATGTCTACTGACACCAGGCAGTAGAAAACCCTCAAGTGGCCTGCCAGGACTGGTTCCAAGTCGCTCATTTTACAGAAAGATGACAAGAACATAGTACTTACAAAAATATGCCACAAAATATTGACGGAAATAGGATTTTCGATTAACACACTGAGCCCTCCTGTTATCTTTGTCACCAGTCCAGACTGTCGCAATCTGTATGCCTTAATCTTCTGCCTGCGGTCTCTTATGCAAACCCATCACACAGAGAATCATTATTGCGATGACTGCAACACAGTTTCAGATGACCAGCAAGGATGTAGTGGTTAAAACTCCAGATGCTACTTCACAGAGAAAGCACCAAACCATAGACTGTGTTATAAAAACAAATACTTTGCCATGACTTTGAAAATTGAGCTGTATTGTTGACCCTGGCATTTGAACCCGACATGGGCCTCTGATGTTTGTTTCGGTAAGTTTATATGTGGGCTACCATTTAAACTTTACTGAAACAATGCTGGCTACCATTGCAATTTCAAATCTCTACTGACCTACAAATCACAGTCAAAATAAATGATTCTCTAAATTTGAACCAGCATGCAGTCTAGTACACCACTACATAGTCTGCCACGTGACCAAATGAGTCGTCTCCCTCCCATCCTCTCCCTTCCTGTCAGTTTCCTCGCTTCCCTCAGTCTTCCCAGCAGCTCCCTAGAGGTCATTACGTAAATTATGTCTGTCATCGGGCTTGGGTGTGTGCATACGGCCACACCACTCTCCATTGTGCTACATCATTCCCTCCCCTCTCACGCCCCTCTACAACAATTAAGAGGCTTGGGACCAGCTAGCAGGAGTATGGCCCATAGGCCTCTTCTGTTGGACGAGTGTAGTCACAATGGACTGGTGGGAAATGGGGAAAACAAGGGGAAACAATGAGAACAGGGGGGCTGGCAAGTTCTACCAGGGAACTTTATAGACTTGGATGGTGGCTAATTATGGTATTTTGAAAGGGTAGTAGCGAGCTACTAACCTCTATTAGGAAGCCAAGTTGGGCCAAAAGGCATCCATTTGGGCTGTTTATAGCACTGTTTATAGCACTGTACACTGGAGTGGCTTCGGGACAAGTATCTGAGTGGCCCATAATTTACTGGATGGAAACCAAATCTAAACTGATCTGCTGTTAACACTATTCAGCATTTCGACTTGCAATGCAACCTGAGCAAGTTACATTTGGTCTGAAGTCTTCCAAAATCACTATGTAAAAAAATCTATAAAATGAAGGCAGCAAGGTGGCAAGACCATAGTCTCAATCCACCCGCCCACAGACCCACTGGTAAGTCTAGACTCTAGACCAGCACAGCTCCATTTAGGGCCTACTCATCTCTCCCATTTGCCTCATTGCTTTATCCGTCTCTGAGTGTTTCCCATGGCCGTAATTAAATCACATATTCCAGCCTATTCCAACCACTATCTCAGCACGCTCCTCACCGCAAATAAGCGCTCTTTGTTCAGCAGGCACATAACCACCAATTAAAAACAAAGATTTAGTCATTAGGTTATGCCGAAACAAATGTGTCACTCTAGTAAAGGGATGAGACAGTGACTCTCTCTTTCCTTCAATAAACCCATTAGTCTTTCCTTCATGTGGAACAGTGCATTCGGAAAGTATTCAGACCCCTTCACTTTTTCCCACATTTTGTTACGTTACAGCCTTATTCTAAAATGGATTAAATAAATAAAAATCTCATCAACCTACACATAATACCCCATAATGACAAAGCAAAAACAGGTTAAAAAAATAAATAAATAACAGAACTACCTTATTTACATAAGTATTCAGACCCTTTGCTATGAGACTCGAAATTGAGCTCAGGTGCATCCTGTTTCCATTGATCATCCTTGAGATGTTTCTACAACTTGATTGGAGTCCACCTGTGGTAAATTCAATTGATCTGACATGATTTGGAAAGGCACACACCTGTCAGAGCAAAAACCAAACCATGAGGTCGAAGGAATTGTCCATAGAACTCCGAGACAGGACTGTGTCGAGGCACAGACCTGGGGAAGAGTACAAAAAATGGAAGGTCCCCAAGAACACAGTGGCCTCCAACATTCTTAAATGGAAGAAGATTGGAACAACCAAGACCCTCCCTAGAGCTGGCCGCCCGGCCAAACTGAGCAATCGGGGGAGAAGGGCCTTGGTCAGGGAGGTGAGCAAGAACCTGATGGTCACTCTGACAGAGCTCCAGAGTTCCTCTGTGGAGTTGGGAGAAACTTCCAGAAGTACAACCATCTCTGCAGCACTCTAGCAATCAGGCCTTTATGGTAAAGTGGCCAGACGGAAGCCAATACTCAGTAAAACGCACGACAGGCCACTTGGAGTTTGCCAAAACGCCTCTGACCATGTGAAACAAGATTCTCTGGTCTGATGAAATAAAGATTGAACTCTTTGGCCTGAATGCCAAGCGTCACACCTGGAGGAAACCTGGCACCATCCCTACGGTGAAGCATGGTGGTGGCAGCATCATGCTGTGGTGATGTTTTTCAGCACCAGGGACTGGGAGACTAGTCAGGATCGAGGGAAAGATTAACAGAGCAAAGTACAGAAAGATCCTTGATGAAAACCTGCTCCAGAGCGCTCAGGACCTCAGACTGGGGCGAAGGTTCACTTTCCAACAGGACAACGACCCTAAGCACACAGCCAAGACAACACTGGAGTGGCTTCGGGACAAGTATCTGAGTGGCCCAGCCAGAGCCCGGATTTGAACCCGATCCAACATCTCTGGAGAGACCTGAAAATAACTGTGCAGCAACGCTCCCCATCCAACCTGACAGAGCTTGAGAGGATCTGAAGAGAAGAATGGGAGAAACTCCCCAAATACAGGTGTGCCAAGCTTGTAGCGTCATACCCAAGAAGACTTGAGGCTGTAATCACTGCCAAAGGTGTAAAGGGTCTGAATACTTACATACTGAACATACGAACCCAGCTCTGCACATCGCTTGTCTGTCTGGAAAGCCTCCGCAAATGAAAACGTGTGGCGGGCCACAGCCGACCCCGCCCACGTTCTGTGTGCCGCGGCGAGGGGATTCTTGGCCACAAGAGATTACTTGCTTTGTCGTTCACTCTTCAGTCTGCATGGTCAATGCAGCAGATTCAACAAGATGTTGACAATGATGCTGCTTTGCGCCTTAATATAAATCCCCAAGTGTTCTATAATGACACTATTAGTTTGTGTATCTATCTTACTGTCTGCAAACAGCTAGTTTATCTTTTCTAAGAAAGTTGTGCCTAAATAAATTGTGTTAGCCACTAATGCTAATTGTAGTTAGCTGGCTAGCTAGGTAGCTAATAATGGACAGAGTCAGAGCAAACATAGCTAGCTAATACAGCCTGATACCAGTGCTGCTGTAGGCCTAAATCAGCATGTTGTTTATGCAACAGTATCTACTAAATCAGAGATGAATTGGGGAAGCATGAATATGTCAAGAGAAAACATTTAATGTAGCCAAAGATTATAAGACACCCTGGGAAACACTGACCAACACTTTGGTTCCTACCCTGTCACAATAACTCCTCCCTGGCTTTTTCATTTGTCGTGACATCAAACAACATTATATTCAAACTATAGAATCAGAATAATCACTCTATTTCCATGATTCCAACAGTTCACAAGTGTTTGATCTAAATCACAAATTAAATCACAATTGCAACATTTGGTTAAAAATAGAGCCTAGATTTTTTGCACATATAGTGCAGTCCTACGCTGAAGTGTGGAAATGATCTCAAATGAGTGCAGCAAATGCAGAAATTGATGAAATATTTTTGGTTGAAGTTTGATTGAACAGTATAAACAAACAGAATGGAGAAAGACCCATTGAAATCACTTAGAAGGTACAGTTGAAGTCAAAAGTTTACATACACTTAGGTTGGAGTCATTAAAACTCATTTTTCAACCACTCCACACATTTCTTGTTAACAAACTATAGTTTTGGCAAGTTGGTTAGGACATCTACTTTGTGCATGACACAAGTCATTTTTTCAACAATTGTTTACAGACAGATTATTTCACTTATAATTCACTGTATCACAACTCCAGTGGGTCAGACGTTTATATACACTAAGTTGACTGTGCCTTCAAACAGCTTGGAAAATTCCAGAAAATGATGTAATGGCTTTAGAAATTTCTGATAGGCTAATTGACATCATTTGAGTCAATTGGAGGTGTACCTGTGGATGTATTTCAAGGCCTACCTTCAAACTCAGTGCCTCTTTGCTTGACATCATGGGAAAATCAAAAGAAATCAGCCAAGACATCAGAAAGAAAATTGTAGACCTCCACAAGCCTGGTTAATCCTTGGGAGAAATTTCCAAACGCCTGAAGGTACCACGTTCATCTGTACAAACAACAGTACGCAAGTATAAACACCATGGGACCACGCAGCCGTCATACCGCTCAGGAAGGAGACGCGTTCTGTCTCCTAGAGATTAACGTATTTTGGTGCAAAAAGTGCAAATCAATCCCAGAACAAAGAACCTTGTGAAGATGCTGGAGGAAACAGGTACAAAAGTATACAGTGGGGGAAAAAAAGGATTTAGTCAGCCACCAATTGTGCAAGTTCTCCCACTTAAAAAGATGAGAGAGACCTGTCATTTTCATCATAGGTACACGTCAACTATGACAGACAAATTGAGGAAAAAAAATCCAGAAAATCATATTGTAGGATTTTTTATGAATTTATTTGCAAATTATGGTGGAAAATAAGTATTTGGTCACCTACAAACAAGCACGATTTCTGGCTCTCACAGACCTGTAACTTCTTCTTTAAGAGGCTCCTCTGTCCTCCACTCGTTACCTGTATTAATGGCACCTGTTTTAACTTGTTATCAGTATAAAAGACACCTGTCCACAACCTCAAACAGTCACACTCCAAACTCCACTATGGCCAAGACCAAAGAGCTGTCAAGGGACACCAGAAACAAAATTGTAGACCTGCACCAGGCTGGGAAGACTGAATCTGCGATAGGTAAGCAGCTTGGTTTGAAGATATCAACTGTGGGAGCAATTATTAGGAAATGGAAGACATACAAGACCACTGATAATCTCCCTTGATCTGGGGCTCCACGCAAGATCTCACCCCGTGGGGTCAAAATGATCACAAGAACGGGAATCACATTGTAGGATTTTTTATGAATTTATTTGCAAATTATGGTGGAAAATAAGTATTTGGTCAATAACAAAAGTTTCTCAATATTTTGTTATATACCCTTTGTTGGCAATGACACAGGTCAAATGTTTTCTGTAAGTCTTCACAAGGTTTTCACACACTGTTGCTGGTATTTTGGCCCATTCCTCCATGCAGATCTCCTCTAGAGCAGTGATGTTTTGGGGCTGTCGCTGGGCAACAGGGATTTTCAACTCCCTCCAAAGATTTTCTATGGGATTGAGATCTGGAGACTGGCTAGGCCACTCCAGGACCTTGAAATGCTTCTTACGAAGCCACTCCTTCGTTGCCCGGGCGGTGTGTTTGGGATCATTGTCATGCTGAAAGACCCAGCCACGTTTCATCTTCAATGCCCTTGCTGATGGAAGGAGGTGTTCACTCAAAATCTCACGATACATGGCCCCATTCATTCTTTCCTTTACACAGATCAGTCGTCCTGGTCCCTTTGCAGAAAAACAGCCCCAAAGCATGATGTTTCCACCCCCATGCTTCACAGTAGGTATGGTGTTCTTTGGATGCAACTCAGCATTCTTTGTCCTCCAAACACAACGAGTTGAGTTTTTACCAAAAAGTTCTCTTTTGGTTTCATCTGACCATATGACATTCTCCCAATCCTCTTTTGGATCATCCAAATGCACTCTAGCAAACTTCAGACGGGCCTGGACATGTACTGGCTTAAGCAGGGGGACACGTCTGGCACTGCAGGATATGAGTCCCTGGCGGTGTAGTGTGTTACTGATGGTAGGCTTTGTTACTTAGGTCCCAGCTCTCTGCAGGTCATTCACTAGGTCCCCCCGTGTGGTTCTGGGATTTTTGCTCACCGTTCTTGTGATCATTTTGACCCCACGGGGTGAGATCTTGCGTGGAGCCCCAGATCGAGGGAGATTATCAGTGGTCTTGTATGTCTTCCATTTCCTAATAATTGCTCCCACAGTTGATTTTTTCAAACCAAGCTGCTTACCTATTACAGATTCAGTCTTCCCAGCCTGGTGCAGGTCTACAATTTTGTTTCTGGTGTCCTTTGACAGCTCTTTGGTCTTGGCCATAGTGGAGATTAGAGTGTGACTGTTTGAGGTTGTGGACAGGTGTCTTTTATACTGATAACAAGTTCAAACAGGTGCCATTAATACAGGTAACAAGTGGAGGACAGAGGAGCCTCTTAAAGAAGAAGTTACAGGTCTGTGAGAGCCAGAAATCTTGCTTGTTTGTACGTGACCAAATACTTATTTTCCACCATAATTTGCAAATAAATTCATAAAAAATATTTGTTTTTCTCATTTTGTCTGTCATAGTTGACGTGTACCTATGATGAAAATTACAGGCCTCTCTCATCTTTTTAAGTGGGAGAACTTGCACAATTGGTGGCTGACTAAATACTTTTTCCCCCACTGTATCTGTTTTTGAATGGGGCATGCTTTTTAAGATTGAGAGGAAAGCACTTTTAAAGAACACCAGGCATCATCTACTGACGGAATGACATCAATATCCATCCAGGATACCCGGGCCAGGTCAATTAGAAAGGCCTGCTCGCTCAAGTGTTTTAGGGAGCGTTTGACAGTGATGAGGGGTGGTCGTTTGACCGCGGACCCATTACGGACGCAGGCAATATGGCAGTGATCGCTGAGATCCTGGTTGAAGACAGCAGAGGTGTATTTAGAGGGTACATTTGTCAGAATGATATCTATGAGGGTGCCCATGTTTACAGATGTAAGGTTGTACCTGGTAGGTTTGTTGATAATATTTGTGAGATTGAGGGCATCTAGTTTAGATTGTAGGTTGGCCGGGGTGTTAAGCATATCCCAGTTTAGGTCACCAAGCAATACGAACTCTGAGGATAGATGGGGGGGTAATCAGTTCACATATGGTGTCCAGGGCACAGCTCGGGGCTGATGGGGGGTCTGTAGCAAGCGGCAACTGTGAGAGACTTATTTCTGGAAAGGTGGATTTTTAGAAGTAGAAGGTCAAACTGTTTGGGCACAGACCTGGATAGTATGATAGAGCTCTGCAGGCTCTCTCTACAGTAGATTGCAACCCCACCCCCATTGGCAGTTCTATCTAGACGGAAAATGTTGTAGTTGGGGATGGACATTTCTGAATTTTTGGTGGCTTTCCTAAGCCAGGATTCAGACACTGCTAGAACATCAGGGTTGGCAGGAGTGTGCTAACGCAGTGAATAACTCAAACTTAGGGAGGAGGCTTTGGATGTTAACGTGCAAGAAACCGAGGCTTTTACGGTTACAGAAGTCAACAAATGATAGCGCCTGGGGAGTAGGAGTAATATTGGGGGCTACAGGGCCTGGGTTAACCTCTACATCACCAGAGGAACAGAGGAGGAGTATAATATAGAATAAGGATACAGCTAAAGGCTTTAAGAACTGGTCTTCTAGTGCGTTGGGTACAGAGAAAGGGGGGCAGATTTCCGATAGATTCAGGGCATTATGTACAGACAAGGATATGGAAGGATATGAGTACAGTGGAGGTAAACCTAAGCGTTGGGTAACGATGAAAGAGATAGCATCACTGAAGGCACCGATTGAGTCGGTCTCCGCGTGTATGGGGAGTGGGACAAAGGAGCTGTCTAAGGCAGGTTGAGCTGGGCTGGGGGCTCTACAGTGAAATAGTACAATAAGAAATAACCAAAACAGCAATAAGCAAAGCATATTGACATGGGAGAGAGGCATAAAGCAATCACAGGTGTTATTCGAGAGAGCTAAGACAACAGATGGTAATAGCGACAAAGTTTGGGCTGAGGCTAAACATAAACAGGATGCGGTACCGTATAAAGGAACAGTCCAGCAGGCATCAGCTGTACAGCTGAGTTATCATAAGGTCCGGTGAACAGCAATAGGAGAGTTCGGAGGTAGTTCGGGGGCTGCTACAGCACTGTCGAGCAAGAGGCCACGGCTTGCGTGTGCTAGCGGGCCGGGGCTAGCAGATGAGTCTTCGTGGTCAACGTCGTAACGGGAAGCCTGTTGAAACCACATCAGACGATTTTGTCGGCAGACCAGTCGTGTTGGATCGGCGGGGCTCCGTGTCAACACTAGGAGGTCCCGTCCGGTTGACAGAGAGGTAGATAGCCGGGAGATGGGCCTGGCTCGAGGCTAGCTCAAGGCTAACTGGTGCTTGCTAAGGTGCAATGGTAATTAGCCAACGACAACAACCATGCGGTTGCAGCTAGCTAGTTGCGATGATCCGGCGCTAGGGTCCAGTGATTCCGGCAGAAAATCCGATATGCTCTGGGTCGATAGCACGCGGTGCGGACTGGCCGACAAATTGTCCAGGCTAGAGCTAGAGCTGGCAGGTGGGTAGTGCAGGCCACGGACAATGGTTTAGACCACTAACGGTGGCTAATAGCAAGTAGCTAGCTAGCTGGCTACAACAGCCATTCGGTTGCAGCTAACTAGTTGCGATGATCTGGCGCTAGGGTCCAGTGATTCCGGCAGAAAATCCGATATGCTCTGGGTCGATAGCACGCTGTGCAGACTGGCCGACAAATTGTCCAGGCTAGAGCTAGTGCTGGCTGGTGGGTAATGCAGGCCACGGACAATGGTGAAGACGCTAACGGTGGCTAATAGCAAGTAGCTAGCTAGCTGGCTACCACAGCCATTCGGTTGCAGCTAGACTAGTTTCAGCTTAAGGTTCTGATAAAAGTTATAAAGAAATAATAGAATCCTTTCCACGTTGGGTGAGGCAGGTTGCAGGAAAGTATATTTAGTTAAAGAATGAAAAGTAAAATTGAGAAATATATACAAAATTGACAAAAAAACACTACACTACAAACAAACGCTACAGAAAAACACGACCGCACTGCTACGCCATCTTGGAATCATATGATGCTCTTCGATGTCCCAGGTTTGTGGCATTGATGAATAAATAATGTAATCTTTACTTCAAGTAAGATATTTATATGTTATGTATAAAAAGGCATATGTATGCATTGTTAACTATTTGGACTTCTTTAAAACAATGTAATTGATGGAGTTCATTTATGATTATGGATACATTCTGCAATTAGTTAATCTGGCTTTGAATCTGCATCAGAAAATGTCAACAAGGTCTTAATTGCTTTAATACAGCAGTGCATTCTGACACCATGAATTGAAATGGATTTCACCTCGTTCATATAGTTGGCAGACATTATAAGGAATTAAATATAGACATCCACCAGCTGAAGGAGAAGAGGATCTGGTAAAATAAGGGCATGTTGCTAATATCATCTAGGAAGGTATCTAGCTAGCTAGCGTCTTTGAAAAAAATAACCTAGTATTTATGGCATATTGTAAATATCTGACTGCTACAAGGATAGTATTCTGTAGATACAAGACCAAATGCATAAATAAGCAAAAATATATAAGTTAAATAAAATATGGAGCAGTAAATGAAAATGTTCAAGATATCTTTCATTTTGGCTCAAGGTTGCTTGTAGCTGACAGCAAAGGTGTCAGCTAGAGATGACATGCCGCAGCTTGCATGGAATTGTAGTCTTGCATGATGTCTACTTTGATGCTAATTAGCATTTTCGAATCTGAGTAAATGTAGCTGAATATATTGATAAAAGTTACCTTGTCCGTGAGAGATTAATCAAAACGTCACGCCAGGGAAAACCTAAATGAAACACAGACCTTGTTTGAAGTGGCTTTTTCCCTACGGGAAAAATGAAAGGTGAAAAAAACCATTGGAACCTTTTCTGTGTTTGACCGCTAGGTTTTATGGGTATTATGTGAGTGGCAGGGGGAGGGGCTTGGTGTCTGTGTGCGAATGGGAAGGTGCACAGTGCACACAGCACAGAAGGAGCGAAGGTAATCCCCCCCCAAAAAAAGACGACAAACGCTCATAAAAACGACCAAAAACGTAACCTTGCGATACAGGAATTTAAAACATTGAGCTAAAACATTAATTCGATATAAATCGCCCAGCCCTACTTTAAGTACATGTTTTTATTGACGGTTTACAGGTGAAAGGTATGCTACGTGTTGGGATGTTGATTAAATGGAAAATCTCAGCATCCTGTTGTAGACATGATTGTTACATAAATAGGTTGTTTGGTCAAGAGAGTGAGGTGTGATTAATGGTTAAATTCATTAGCAAGTGTTTGAGTGGTGGGCATTGGCAAGATCCAGCACTGGCAAGACCCAGACTCATTTGTATATTAAAGTGTGTGTACTTAGATGAACTGTGCAGCCTACACTTGCTGCACTCTCGTGTCTCTTCACTTCCTGTCCTGAGTGCATGCACCAAGAAACCTGTTTGGCCCAAATCTCCATCTGAGATCTAAAGATGAATGCAACAATTGGACAGTGAGCCAAACCACACTGTGTGTGTGTACACCCACCACTGTGAGGCTATGTTCTTCCAAGTAACGTGAATGGTGTGCACCACCTGAACCCATCACGATCATCACCAAACTACCTTATAGCTTTGAAGCAGACTAGAAGCTGTCAGGTGTAAAGGAGTCTCTGCATACCCAGGTTGCAACACACTCCTCCCCTCTACAAATTGCATTATCCCGTGGAGAATAGGATAATAGTGCAAAATGGCAAATTAGCTCTGTTTTCCAAGGGTTAGTCAAAAGGTGGTTTATGCAGCTGCTGCAAGTTCTTCTTCCTATGAGGAAATAAGTTCCTCAGTCACTTGGTTGAGTGGTTTCCATTTGGCTCCTTAAAAAACTGATTCATAACGATTACTGGCGAAGAGGTCTGCGTACTAGTCAATGGTGGGAAATTAACTGAAGCATTAAGAAAACAGGGTTCTATTGAGTAAGAGAGCAGGAGGGCGACACTTACTAAAGATGGAGAAAGAGGAGGAGCAAGTAGGAGAGGGGAAAAAACATCCCGGGTAGAGAAAAAGTAAGGATTATGAAAACATGGCCAGAAATAATAATAAACAGAGGGGCTGCCAAGCACTGGCGCGATAGAGGTGCTTCCCCGTATGTGTGCAGCTGTTTTGCGAGACAGTGAGCAATACCTCCCCCTTGTCTCCCAGACTCTGACAGGCTGGGGAATTTAACTTCTCCCTGTTAGGTGGCTTTAAAAATAACCCTGTGGACAACTTTAAGACTGTAGTAATAGCAGCAATAACAAATCGCCTCTTGCCAAGCTTCTCAGCGTCTGGTCTGGCATCCGTTTCCAGCAGGGAGTTTTCCACAGGGACAAAGCATTAGGCCTATTAACAAGTGAGCGCCCAACCCTATGTCCAATTCCTGGTTGCCATTCTACTCTTCCCTTCACTGTATTCTTATAGGTACCATAAATCAGTTGTGTGTGTGCTGGTGGATTCTGGGGTGATACGTTGTTCCTAGATTGTGTTGGAGAAATGCCCCGTCTTCCAACTGCCCTGAACTTAACTCACAGACACCTGCTAAGGCTATTGGGGAGACAATATATGCAACACATGACAGGTTGGTTTGCTTAGGTCATCCATATGTTGGACACTGAGCTGTTTTGTTTGTTTTAGGGGGTTTTCTGTACCAGACTAGCAACCTGCAATAGAAAGTTCCCAGGGATTGCTGCAGTGTTTCCGCTGCAGTCATTTAGCTGTGGTCGGCGTGCCACGGCAAAATCATTGCCGCCACGCCAAATAAATATAGAACATGGAAAAAATATAATTAATATAACATTTTTGCAATCACGGGAAAAACAGCAGTTTTAATGGCCTTTGTTAAAAAGAGGGGATCCCAGCTTTCCATTCATACTTTATTTCTCAACTGCTAAATATGCGCGAACTGCACCATTTCAAACACAGAGTTTTTAGCAGTGTTAAGCACCTTACCGCTCTGTAATTTGCAGTGAGTGCATAGGGGAGAGTGGGGCTTAATGTCAATTGTAGGTTAACTTCGGGTAAAACGTCACCCTACCTCAAAATAATTTATTGGGAATTACTTATATTGTGATGAGAAAGATTACATTTTTTGTTGAGAAAGAGTAGCGGCAAGCAGGGAAAGTGTTTGGGGAAAAATTTGTGACATGAAGTGGTTTCTGTGAGAAGTACAGGCAGGGGTGTGTTACACCAGGTGGTGGTATGCCCCAAGTTACGCTAAGTTTTTTGGGACATAAAATGTATCAATAGGATGCTAACTCGTTAAAAGATCACATTTGGGATCTGGTTCATGATTAGCCCAATAGGTTAAATAAAGATAGGCGACCCCATGCTTCAGCCTATTTATTTATAGACACTATGCTGCATCATTTGGGCTACAGGTGATAATGCTTATTGCTAATAGCATATCTGATAATATGGACCATGCATAGGCTAGTATTCAGACCCCTTGACTTTTTCCACATTTTGTTACATTACAGCCTTACTCTAATTTTATATTTTTATTTTTTATCATCCTCAATCTACACGCAATACCCCATAATGACAAAGCAAAAACAGGTTTAGACATTTCTGCACATTTATTAAATATGAAAAACAGAAATACCTTATTTACAGAAGTATTCAGACCCTTTGCTATGAGACTCGAAATTGAGCTCAGGTGCATCCTGTTTCCATTGATTATCCTTGAGATGTTTCTACAACTTGATTGGTGTCTACCTGTGGTAAATTAAATTGATTGATTTGGAAAGGCACACACCTGCCTGTATAAGGTCCCATGTCAGAGCAAAAACCAAGCCATGAGGTTGAAGGAATTGTCCATAGAGCTCCGAGATATGATTGTGTCAAGGCACAGATCTGGGGAAGGGTACCAAAAAATGTCTGCAGCATTGAAGATCCCCAAGAACACAGGGGCCTCCAATATTCTTAAATGGAAGAAGTTTGGAACCACCAAGACTCTTCCTAGAGCTGGGAGGTGACCAAGAACCCGATGGTCACTCTGACAGAGCTTCAGAGTTCCTCTGTGGAGATGGGAGATCCTTCCAGAAGGACAACCATCTCTGCAGCACTCCACCAATCAGGCCTTTATGGTAGAGTGGCCAGACGGAAGCCACTCCTCAGTAAAAGGCACATGACAGCCCAATTGGAGTTTGCCAAAAGGCACCTAAACACTCTCAGACCATGAGAAACAAGATTCTCTGGTCTGATTAAACCAAGATTGTACTCTTTGGCCTGAATGCCAATCATCATGTCTGGAGGAAACATGGCACCAGCAGCAGGGACTGGGAGACTAGTCAAGATCGAGGCAAAGATGAACGGAGCAAAGTACAGAGAGATCCTTGATAACCTGCTCCAGAGCGCACAGGACCTCAGACTGGGGCGAAGGTTCACCTTCCAACAGGACAATGACCCTAAGCACACAGCCAAGACAACGCAGGAGTGGCTTCGGGACAAGTCTCTGAATGTCCTTGAGTGGCCCAGCCAGAGCCCGGACTTGAACCCGATCGAACATCTCTGGAAAGGCCTGAAAATAGCTGTGCAGCAACGCTCCCCATCCAACCTGACAGAGCTTGAGAAGATATGCAGAGAAGAATGGGAGAAACTCCCCAAATACAGGTGTGCCAAGCTTGTAGCGTCCTACCCAATAAGACTCGAGGCTGTAATCACTGCCAAAGTACTGAGTAAAGGGTCTGAACGCTTATGTAAATCTGTTTTAAATTTTTTATAAATTAGCAAAACTTTCTAAAAAACAGTTTTTGCTTTGTCATTATGGGGTATTGTGTGTAGATTGATGAGGGGAAAGAACTATTTAATCAATTTTAGAATAAGGCTGTAACGTAACAAAATGTGGAAAAAGTCAAGGGGTCTGAATACTTTCCGAAGGCACTGTACATGGTCCAACATGTCAAAATAATTATTACAAATAATTTTACCAATATGTTATTGGGCTCATTTCTGTAGGTGGAAATTGTATTTTAGACGGTGTCAGCATAATTTTATTTTAATTCATTTTAGAGAATGACCTTTTAAAAAGTCGCCAGAAGTGACCTTCAACCACCCTCCCCAACCCCGTTACACATTTTTCAAGAGGAAACACTGGATTGCAGTATGGCTTGTGTATGTCTGTATTATAATAAGTGTTTGTGTTTCTAAATATCTTAGTGTGCATCACAAAAGCGCACATCTAAGCTAATTATTTAGCTAATGTACAGTGGGGAGAACAAGTATTTGATACACTGCTGATTTTGCAGGTTTTCCTACTTACAAAGCATGTAGAGGTCTGTAATTTTTATCATAGGTACACTTCAACTGTGAGAGACGGAATCTAAAACAAAAATCCAGAAAATCACATTGTAAGATTTTTAAGTAATTAATTTGCATTTTATTGCATTAAGTATTTGATCACCTACCAACCAGTAAGAATTCCGGCTCTCACAGACCTGTTAGTTTTTCTTTAAGAAGCCCTCCTGTTCTCCACTCATCACCTGTATTAACTGCACCTGTTTGAACTCGTTACCTGTATAAAAGACACCTGTCCACACACTCAATCAAACAGACTCCAACCTCTCCACAATGGCCAAGACCAGAGAGCTGTGTAAGGACATCAGGGATAAAATTGTAGACCTGCACAAGGCTGGGATGGGCTACAGGACAATAGGCAAGCAGCTTGGTGAGAAGGCAACAACTGTTGGCGGAATTATTAGAAAATGGAAGAAGTTCAAGATGACGGTCAATCACCCTCGGTCTGGGGCTCCATGCAAGATCTCACCTTGTGGGGCATCAATGATCATGAGGAAGGTGAGGGATCAGCCCAGAACTACACGGCAGGACCTGGTCAATGACCTGAAGAGAGCTGGGACCACAGTCTCAAAGAAAACCATTAGTAACACACTACGCCGTCATGGATTAAAATCCTGCAGCGCACGCAAGGTCCCCCTGCTCAAGCCAGCGCATGTCCAGGCCCGTCTGAAGTTTGCCAATGACCATCTGGATGATCCAGAGGAGGAATGGGAGAAGGTCATGTGGTCTGATGAGACAAAAATAGAGCTTTTTGGTCTAAACTCCACTCGCCGTGTTTGGAGGAAGAAGAAGGATGAGTACAACCCCAAGAACACCATCCCAACCGTGAAGCATGGAGCTGGAAACATCATTCTTTGGGGATGCTTTTCTGCAAAGGGGACAGGACGACTGCACCGTATTGAGGGGAGGATGGATGAGGCCATGTATCGTGAGATCTTGGCCAACAACCTCCTTCCCTCAGTAAGAGCATTGAAGATGGGTCGTGGCTGGGTCTTCCAGCATGACAACGACCCGAAACACACAGCCAGGGCAACTAAGGAGTGGCTCCGTAAGAAGCATCTCAAGGTCCTGGAGTGGCCTAGCCAGTCTCCAGACCTGAACCCAATAGAAAATCTTTGGAGGGAGCTGAAAGTCCGTATTGCCCAGCGACAGCCCCGAAACCTGAAGGATCTGGAGAAGGTCTGTATGGAGGAGTGGGCCAAAATCCCTGCTGCAGTGTGTGCAAACCTGGTCAAGACCTACAGGAAACTTATGATCTCTGTAATTGCAAACAAAGGTTTCTGTACTAAATATTAAGTTCTGCTTTTCTGATGTATCAAATACTTATGTCATGCAATAAAATGCAAATTAATTACTTAAAAATCATACAATGTGATTTTCTGGATTTTTGTTTTAGATTCCGTCTCTCACAGTTGAAGTGTACCTATGATAAAAATTACAGACCTCTACATGCTTTGTAAGTAGGAAAACCAGCAAAATCGGCAGTGTATCAAATACTTGTTCTCCCCACTGTATAAGGAAACCATTAGCAATCGACAGTTTTCTAAAGAAGGGAGGAGGACATGCAGGCCAGCACAAACAGAAGAAGTGATTACGCAACGCACCAACGCCTTTTCAACAGAACATTGGAGGTCGTTGGGTCAATATGGCTTCTGACTCATCCTCACATATCAATAACGGCACTTGAGTTCCAGATAAAAGGGCATCAAAACAACAGAATGGCCCAACCATTTGGACAATAAACCAGAGCAGCAGTGTCATCTGCCTTCTATTGCTCACCACACTTAACGTGTCTGAGCAGCAACTTTGGTGAGTTATTCACATTAGGCCAGGGTGATGAATTGGCTAAGCTGTGGGGATTGTGGGAAATGAGTGAGGTGGGATATTGTACTCACTGGGAGTTCTGAGGGTTCTGGCAGGAATTCTGCGTCCTCTCCAAATATGAAGTCTGGAGGTAGTTCTGGATCCCTGGCATTGAAGATGACGTCCCCTGAGAAAGAACAGAATGATCACAAGTCAGCTTTGTCACAGAACACTTAAAGGAAGATTTCTGGAATTCAATTCAGCCCACCACAGCAATGTTTACTACTCAAGCAGCGAGCACACACAAACACTTCTTATTCTGAAAAGAGGTAGATTCTACAGAGATGGGGAAAACATGTATACTACAATGCTGCTTCAACTGAATTAAGACCTTAGGTGAACACAATGACTGATTCTAGCTGAAGAGATTGATGACCACCTGCATCAACATGAGCTCTTAGCTGTTTTGCCCAATCACTCTGCTGTTTTACACTCAACTCTGTGTAATGTAACTTGTGATGAAATGGACCTGCACTGTTATGAAAGAATGAGAACAGGTGGCTACTCTTTTCCAAAAACATTGTGCATGAAGAACAAAACCACATACCACTGACAAACCCAACCACCGAGTCCCTATTTCCAGTAACACTCAAACATTTACAAGGCCTGAAAAATAAAACCAGACAATCATGTTGTTCTGGTTAAATGCTTGGAATTTTTCAATTTGCCATAGGCCCTCACAGAATAGTCTACCAATTGTGATACGGAAATTAACCGAGCAGGGGGATTGAATAGGCTACTCTAGAACTGGGTCAATATAGGGTCGTTCCATTTGATTTCAATAGCATTTTGACTGCACCCTTTTTGATTTGAACAACACTTTCTATACATATTTGCCCATGGTAGAAGTGTTCAGAAAGTAATTTTTGGGACCTGAATGCCAAAACATTTAGGAGATAGATGTGCTCAAAGTTGATCCATTTTGAATACCCCACCCTACCATGAGACATCCTTGTCTTAATCACTGGAAAATATAAATGGTTGAGTTTTATATAATTGAACAGCTTAAAAACAGGGTTGTCAAAGTAAAATAAATGTATGCACTCACTAACTGTAAGTCGCTCTGGATAAGAGCGTCTGCTAAATGACTAAAATGTAAAATGTTTTTATAATACAAATTGTCATTTTTTTAACCTTTAAAAGCAATTATCTAAAAACGTGTGAACTCAGATGTTTTTCATTTCCGCATATGTTGCAGCTTAGACCCTATTTTACGCCGGAGGTATTTGTGTTGTGTCGGTTGAGACACAGCATGCTCTTGAATACAGGGTGGATGTCATGTTGCAGGCTGATAGATGTACTAAAATGGGAATACATTTTTAAATTGATGACTAGAATAAGAATATCAATTGTTTTAAATGATACTGTCAATCTTCCATAGGAAACCTATTGAAATCATAGATATACAGTGGGGTCCAAAATTATTGACACCCTTGATAAAGATTGGCAAAAATTACTGTATAAAATAATGCGCTATATTGTATGAAAAAAAAAAATAGGGGGAAATGATATTATTTTATACTAATACAATTACTCAGAGAAATATTTTGTTTAACAAGTTTTTATTTGATTTATTGTTTTCGCAAAAAAGTAGGGGGCAAAATTATTGACACCCCTGTTTTCAATACCTCACCTTGCGAGGATTACGGCACTGAACCTACAATGTTTTATGAGTTGGAAAACACATTGGGAGGGATCTTAGACCATTCCCCAATACAGAATCCTTCCAGATCCTTGATATCCTGCGCTTATGGACTGTCCTCTTCAATTCAAACCACAGATTTTCAATGGGTTTGAAGTACGGAGACTGAGATGGCAATTGTAAAATGTAGAATATTTAGCCAATTAACCATTTCTTTGTGGATTTTGGTGTGTGCTTGGGGTTATTGTCTTTCTGGAAGATCCACATACGGCCAAGTTTCAGCCTCCTGGCAGAGGAAACCAGGTTTTTGGCTAAAATATCCTGGTACAGGGTAAAGTGCATGATGCCATTGACCTTAACAAGGGCCCCAGGACCAGTAGAAGCAAAATAGCCCCATAACATCAAAGATCAACCACCAGATTTTACAGTAGGTATGTGGTTATTTCTGCTCATACATTCTAATTTCGCCCCCAAACCCACCACTGGTGTGCGTGGCCAAAGAGCTTTATTTTCTATATCATCTGACTAAAAGCACCGGTTCCAATCCAAGTGCCAATGCTGTTTAGCAAATTTCAGGCGTTAACATTTGTTGGATGACATGAAAATAGAGCTCTTTGGCCATGCACACCAGTGGTGGGTTTGGCGTAGAAATGAGAATGCATGAGCAGAAAATAACCCCATACCTACTGTAAAATATGGTGGTGGGTCTTTGATGTTATGGGGCTATTAAAATTTCAATTCAATTTACATTTCAATGAGGTACCAACTAAATTGCAGGGGTCTATGAATTATATATTATATTTCTATGATTTAAATGACACCCACCCTGTATTCAAGAGTATGCTGTGTCTCAACCGATGGCGGGCACAACACAAAAACCTCAGATGATGTAAAATAGGGTCTAAGCTACAACATATGTGAAAATGAAAGAAGTTTAGGCGTTTTTTGATATTTGACAAAAAAGAAATGTTTTCAATAAATTATTAAATAGTTTGACAACCCTGTTTGTAAGCTTTGTAATGATTTCAAACTCAAGCGTTTCTCTCTTTTGTATTTTTTCTTGTTTGTTTGGTATTTTACCCCCCTTTTACTCCACCATTTCGATCTTGTCTCATCGCTGCAACTCCCCAACGGGCTCGGGACAGGCGAAGTCATGCGTCCTCCGAATCATGACCCGCCTAACCGCGTTCCTTAACACTGACCAGCTTAACCCGGAAGCCAGCCGCACCAACGCGTTGAAGGAAACACCATTCAACTGACGACCGGGGTCAGCCTGCAGGCACCCTGCCCGTCACAAGGAGTCGCTAGAGCGCGATGAGCCAAATAAAGCCCCCTGGCCAAACCCTCCCCTAACCCGGATGATGCTGGGCCAATTGTGCACCGTCCTATGGGACTCCCGGCCACGACCGGTTGTGGCACAGCCCAGGAATGAACCCGGGTCTGTAGTAACGCCTCTAGCACTGCGATGCAGTGCCTTAGACCGCTGCGCCACTCGGGAGTCCCCCGTTTATCTTTTCCAGTGATGAAGAAATGGATGTTTCATGGTAGGGTGGGGTATGCAAAACGGGTCAACTTTGAGCACCTCGATCTCCTAAATGTTTTTGCATTCAGGTCCAAAAAGTCACTTTCTGACCACTTCTACCATGGGCAAATAGATATGGAAAGTTTTGTTCAAATCAAAAGGGATGCGGTCAAAAATTGATCGAAATCCAATGGAATAACCCTATAGGAAGGGCTATTAAAGGGATAGCTCGGGACTTTGGCAATTAACCCCTTTATCTACTTCCTCAGAGTAGTGTTGCACGGTATACCAAAACATCAGTACTTTTTCGATACAAAAGAAAAAACAGTTCTGTCCTAAAAATGTTGTTACATTCGGTACTTCTGTTAAAAGTGTCTCACGTGATTGAGAGGTTCAAGTCTGTCTATCAGCGCAGACCTTTTATAGCGCGAAGAGTCAAGTGCCTGCTCCACTTACATTAGAGTTGTAAGTGGAGTTGTCTGGGCTGCTCCCCACTCATGCTGCACAGAAGTTTACACACTTGAGTAATGCAACACGGCATCTAGGAATGTTGAAACTGTTCATTACTGTTCACAAAACACTGTCCATACAGGCTAGAACACTTTTAAAATGCGAGACGATACCGGTAGCTACCAGCTTTAATTGTAGGCTAACTTTCCTTGCTATCTTAGTAGCTGAATTCACTACCCTAGTACGTAAAACTCATTCACTTCTTCATCTCCCGACTGGTGTCCACTAGTTTCCATAGCCACAAAGTCAGATTCCACTGACACATTCTGCCTCATGAATGATGTCATTACGTTCTTAAAGAGACAGCACGCATTTTTATAAAATAAGAGATTGCTTCTTCTATGTAAATGTTGTTGATCAGTACAATAAAATAATATTTTCTACTAGCAGTTACCAATAAAATAAGTCTTAAATGGAAGGGATTGTTTATTATCTGTAGCCCCATGAAATGAGGCCCAGTGTAGCTCAGTTGGTAGAGCATGGCGCTTGCAACGCCAGGGTTGTGGATTCGTTTCCCACGGGGGGCCAGTATGAAAATGTATGCACTCACTAACTGTAAGTCGCTCTGGATAAGAGCGTCTGCTAAATGACTAAAATCTCAAATGTAAAATGTAATGAAATCAGCTCAAATATTCTCAGTAACTCTACGCATTCACCTGTATTGTGAATAGACCGAGGCTACATCTTGATTTACCGAGTTTAGCAATAGAGATTTACCATTCAAATATATGATTACCATTATGTTGTTTTGTAGTTAAATTGGTAAAAACAATATTACATTAATTGATTGTATAATTGATTCATTCATGCATACATGGCTGTCTACATTTTTTCACATACAAATGTTCAAAAATGTAATGATATTGAACTCAAAAGATACCCAACGATTGAACAGAGCAGTAACTGAAAGAGTGTGCAAAGCTGTCATCAAGGCAAAGGGTGACAATTTGAAGAATCTCAAATATAAAATATATTTTACTTTGTTTAACACTTATTTGGTTACTACATAATTCCATGTGTTATTTCATAGTTTATGTCTTCACTATTATTCTACAATGTAGAATAATAGTAAAAAATAAAGAAAAACCCTTGAATGAGTAGGTGTGTCCAAACTTTTGACTGGTACTGTATATCTTGATTACATAAGTATTCAACCCCCTGAGTCAATACATGTTAAAACCACTTTTGGCAGTGATTACAAGTGTGAGTCTTTCTGGGTAAGTCTCTAAGAGCTTTGCACACCTGGATTGTGCAATATTTGCACATTACACAATTATTCTAGCTCTGTCCAGTTGGTTGTTGAACATAGCTAGACAGTCATTTTCAAGTCTCGCCAAAGATTTTCAAGCCGATTTTAGTCAAAACCGTAACTAGGCCACTCAGGAACATTGAATGTCGTCTTGGTAAGCAACTCCAATGTACAGTTGGCCTTGTGTTTTAGGTTATTGTCCTGTTGAAAGGTAAATGTCTCTGTGTTTGTTGGAAAGCAGACTGAACCTGGTTTTCCTATTAGGATTTTGCTTGTGATTAGCTCTATTCTGTTTGTTTTTATCCCCCAAAAAACTCACTTGCTGACGACAAGCATACCCATAAAATAATGCAGTCACCACCATGCTTGAAAATATTAAGAGTGATCTGTTGTGTTGGATTTGCCCCAAACATAACACTTGGCATTCAGGACAAAAAGTTAATTTCTTTGCCACATTTTTTGCAGTTTTACTTTAGTGCCTTATTGCAAACAGGATGCATGTTTTGGAGTATTTTGTATTCTGTACAGGCTTCCTTCTTTTCACTCTGTCAATTAGGTTAGTATTGTGGAGTAACTACAATCTTGTTGATCCATCCTCAGTTTTCTATCACAGACATTAAACAGTTTTAAAGTCACCATTGGCCTCATGGTGAAATCCCTGAGCGGTTTCCTTCCTCTCTGGCAACTCAGTATCTTTTTTGTGACTGGTTGTATTGATACACCATCAAAAGTGTAATTAATAACTTCACCATGCTCAAAAGGATATTGAATGGCTGCTTTCTTATTTTTACCCATCTACCAATAGGTGCCCTTTGCGAGGCATTAGAAAACCTCCCTGGTCTTTGTGGTTGAATCAGTGTTTGAAATTCACTGCGAGACCTTACAGATACAGTGCATTCGGAAAGTATTCAGACCCCTTGACTTTGTCTACATTTTGTTACGTTACAACCTTATTCTAAAGTGGATTAAATAGTTTTTTCCCCCCTCATCAATCTACACACAATACCCCATAATGATGAAGCAAAAAGTACTCAGACCCTTTAGTCAGTACTTTGTTGAAGCACTTTTGGCAGCGATTATAGCCTTCAGTCTTCTTGGGTATGACGCTACAAGCTTGGCTCACCTGTATTTGGATAGTTTCTCCCATTCTTCTTTGCAGATCCTCTCAAGCTCTGTCAGGTTAGATGGGGAGCGTCGCTGCACAGCTATGTTCAAGTCTCTCCAGAGATGTTCAATCAAGTTCGGGCTCTGGCTGGGCCACTCAAGGACATTCAGAGACTTGTCCCAAAGACACTCCTGCGTTGTCTTGGCTGTGTGCTTAGGATCATTGTCCTGTTGGAAGGTAAACCTTTTCCCCTGTCTGAGGTCCTGAGCGCTCTGGAGTAGGTTTTCATCAATGATCCCTCTACTCTACCATAAAGGCCTGATAGGTGGAAGGTTCTCCCATCACAACAGAAGAACTCTGGAACTCTGTCAAAGTGACCATCGGGATCTTGGTCACCTCCCTGACCAAGGCCCTTCTCCCCCAATTGCTCAGTTTGGCCGGGCGGCCAGCTCTAGGAAGAGTCATGGTGGTTGCAAACATCTTCCATTTTAGAATGATGGAGGCCACTGTGTTCTTGTGGACCTTCAATGCTGCAGAAATGTTTTGGTACCCTTCCCCAGATCTGTGCCTTGACACAATCCTGTCTTGGAGCTCTACGGACAATTCCTTCGACCTCATGGCTTGGTTTTTGCACTGACATGCACTGTCAACTGTGTGACCTTATATAGACAGGTGTGTGCCTTTCCAATCATGTCCAATCAATTGAATTTACCACAGGTGGACTACAATCAAGTTGTAGAAACATCTCAAGGATGATCAACGGAAACAGGATGCACCTGAGTCTCATAGCAAAGGGTCTGAATACTTATGTAAATAAGGTATATATTTTTTATATTTCTAATTAATCAGCAAAAAGAAATATATTTTAAAAAAACTTAGTCATTATGGGGTATTGTGTGTAGATTGACGAGGAAACATTTTTATTTATTCCAGTTTAGAATAAGGCTGTAACGTAACAAAATGTGGAAAAAGGGAAGGGGTCTTAATACTTTCCGAATGCACTGTAATTGTATGTGTGGGGTATAGAGATGAGGTAGTCATTAAAAAAAACTAATGTTAAACACTATACAACTTGTGACTTGTTAAGCAACTTTTGACTCCTCTAATTATTTAGGCTTGACATAACAAAGGGGTTGAATACGGACTCAAAATACATTTCCGTTTAATTTTTTTTATTAGTTTTTAAACGTTTTGAAAAAACATAATTCCACTTTGACATTATGGGGTATTGTGTGTAGGCCAGTGACAAATAATCTCAATTTAATCAATTTTAAATTAAGGCTGTAACACAACAAAATGTGGAAAAATATCAAAGGGATGTGAATAGTTTCTGAATACACTGTATTTATTATTGTTTTTGTTGTGTATCGTTTTGGTATCATTATTGCTGAGGGATTAGTCCTTTTCGAGGTTGGTTCGATTATTAAAAAATAATCACGATTTTCAATTTTGGTTTTGATTATATTTTTAGACATGAAATGCACTACGCATAATGTGGGTTTAATGCTGTAACAACACAGAATACAAAAAATGTATACAAGTCCCATGATGGTGGTGACTGCCCATTACTTCTTATCACTTATTAACAATCATTTATTTACATTACTTTAATAAAATATTTCAGTTGTGTATATTACATTTGTTTTATTTGATGGCTTTATTTTATTCCAAGTCATCATCTCATCTCTATAGAGCTGCTGCCTATGCTGTCTGACAAAATCACTATTTCAGTAGTTCTTCAAAGTAAATAAGGCATACTTTTTATGACTGCTCAATACCAACTATCAGTCAAACTTTTTCACTCGGGGCCCCCCTTCCAGCATTGGGGAACATCCCGCCCCCCCCAGTCTATTTCTATTGGTACAAGCACTGTTCATGACACAAACTGTTCACACCCCTCTTGTTGGTTGAGAGAATTTTGCAGGCTTAAAGCTTATTTCCTGCAATTCTACACGTCTAATGTGTATTCATGTGATATTTGAGTGACAAAAAAATGACAACAATATCTATGGGCTAAAAACCTAAATAAAATAATGTTAGCTGACATGGGCTAGTTGATCTGAACATTTCTGACAAGTTATAAATAGCTCTGTAAGGTATGCAATCACTATCATGACAAGAGGAACTGATGATGCACTACCCAATTGCAAAATTGCACTTTTGTGTATTCTACTATTACAACTTTCAAGAGTAAGTTTAAAGCCGCGCGCCTCCCCCCACAGATTGGGAACCCCTGACTTAGATCATGTATTTTCAGGTGGAAATACCTCGCGAAGCTCTGTCCCTCTGGATTGCTCGTTCTTCTCTCGGTCTCGCACACAGACCGGAGATGTAGACGCGCAATGAATTAAGGCCATTGTAGTTCATTACCACGTTTTCTGCAATTAACTACGTAAAATATTGGCCTGTTGTAAACTACAACTCCCTACTATATTGCACAGTCGGGCTTGATCTGATTTATCTCTAGAGAAAATGCGCTTTGAGCTCAGAAAAAAACTAAATGGAATTCAAATATTTGAACTGATATTGGTCAATTAGTTGTTTAAAAACAGAAAAATAACCAAAATGTAGGCCACTTGATTTCAACATCTGAACAAAGTGGACAGGCTAGCATGCTGTTTAAACAGTTGGAGATGGACAGAAGGGTGTGTTCATAACAATTCAACTGTTCTGCCTTGTTAACTAGCAAATAGATCCATGTTGGCTAAAATTGAAATAGAAAGATCAGCTGGCTACTCACTAGCACCTGGGCTTGTGCTTGAGAGATTGTTTATGAGACCTGTGTTAATTTTCTATAATGCCTGCTACCGTAAGTTAGTAATTATTAGTGAATGTACATTATGCATGGTTCTGAATAAATTTGTAACAAAAAGGGCTTTTTTATAGACAGCCTGAAAAGCCAGATCAGTGATTATTATCCAACAAAAAAAATCAGGTTAAACTATTTTGATAAAATAATTACATTATTAGTGGTTGTGGAAGGCTTATATTTAGCCTAGGTATAATTTCACAAGCCCTGAATTAATTAGATTATTGCTGACTATTTGAAATGCAGCATATTTGTCCTTTAAATTGTACAACATTGTTTATTTAGAGAAAACATTTTAAAAACTCACCCATTAGTTAGAAAAACTTGTGCAACACGAAAATGGAGGTGTGTTGCAAATACAAATATCGGATCTTAACTTAATCACTCTTTTGTTGCAGATGGTTTTCCTGATGCATTTAGTTAATTCAAATGAGCCTTGTGATTGGCAAAACATTAGCAGTTCTCCTCTCCATTCATGGGCAGTCGAGTCATTGGGATAAGGGCTTGCCATCTTAAAATAATGTTCCCTCTTGCTCAACCGCTATAGGCCCATGTCCTATTACTGCAATATTCAAATGTACAAAAATGTATCTGAAATTCAGCCACCCATATCAACAACTGTAATTTTATATAGCTTAATTAACACAATATTGTTATTGGTCTCAACTAGGCTACAACATAAAAGTGTCTAGTGTATCCTAAGGTTACGAATGAACTGTCAAAATGTAGTTCAATTGTGATCTAGTGGTTAGGGCCACTGCCTTCAGGGCGCACATTTGGCCTACCGTGTTGGCGTGGGTTCGATTCCGGCCCAAGCCCTTCTGGCACAAATAATGCAATCTCCAGATTTACTTGATGTAGTTAGACATTTGAAATATGGACAGGGTCATTTCTTATTTTTGTTGATAATAAATGACCATAGCATATACTTTTGGGTAACATAAATAGTAACCAAATAAAATAACAGTTCACCAACATTAGTTAACATTCATACAAAGCGTCGGATAAATTGCCACAGTAGATGTGCCATGGTAAACGAGGAAATACTTTATTTTTGTTGTACAGAATGTTTGTAAAATCGCTAAAATCACCCTTAGTCTGTAAAAAAAATATTCTGATGACAATACCAGCCAGAGGGCGAACATATCTTGAAAGACATTGGTTGCAAGCAGGACAGGCAGAAAGGAAGAGGCAGAGCGAGAGGGCTCACTCTCGCGAAAATAAGCCCAATGCGTGTCTATGCCATCCAATGCCCACCCATGGCTGCAACCCTGCCTTGTCATGTGAAATCCATAGATTAGGGCCTATTGAATTTATTTCAGTTGACTGATTTCCTTATATGAACTGTAACTCAGTACACATTTTGAAATTCTTGCATGTTGCATTCATATTTCTGTTCAGTATAATAATAATAATAAACTATGTAACTTAAGTGATTTGGTAAAATGTAACAGAGTAAAAAGTAAGTTACTCTCTGTGGGCTGAAGAAAGTAACTAGAAAAGTACTAGTCCCTCCAAAAATTCAAAGGGCATTAGTGGACCGCATTCAAACTCATGCCTACTCTATCTTATGTGCGCTGTTGTCAGCAGCTGTACCCACTGGACCGCACTGAGGTAGCCATGAATGTAGTTAGCCTATTGCTTGGCTTGAACATATAATAAAACAATTTTCCATTAAAAAAAATACATCTACCCCTTACAAATATTGTCCATTTATTATAATCCACATAAGAACTCACACAATACACACTGTAGCCTGCACATAGCCTACATAGGCTACTTGAACTGATGCCCAGTGGACCTGCAGTCTAAATTATTGTATAGCCTACAAACACCGCTTCCAGCTGCCCCCTGGCGTCGATTCAAAATATTAAATAGACATTCAAATCCTACTGCTGCAGGATTACTTTGCTCCTGTGACAAAACGGGTCATATCAAGATCTGACATCTGTAGGCTGACTTTTCGGTAAATTCCCCTGACGTGAATAAAGCTACCTTGTTTCTTATAGTTACTGCCCGAAACGGTTATCCTGGGTTAAAGTATAGACTTTTTACAATTACGACCCGCAATGGGTTTCCTGGGGAAACATGTAATCTCTTAAACTTGAAGGTATTTTATTACAGTTACCACCCGCTATGGGTTTGTTTCATTAGGTAAAATGCAACATTCATGAACATGCATAAATAACCAGGCCTTGAATCTTGAGCCTTGTTACGGTCTTTCGCCCTTAACGGGTTAGCTGAGGTATAGTGTAACGGCTTGTAGTCTACCACCCATGAAGGGTTATCTGAGGTATTGTGCTAGGCTTTGGACCTGCTCATAAAATAAACAAGGTGCACGTGAATCAGATGGCGTTGTTACGCTCCTGCTCATATAAAATGAACCAGAATCAGATGGGAGTTTTACCTAAGGTCCTTGGCTTCCGCTGAAGCTTTCACCTCAGCCAGCGTGATCAGAGTTTACATACGTGAACTCAGCAACCTTAAATCGTGTGGAGTTTCCTCCCTCTAAAGTTTCAACTTAATGGTTTCCACCTCAGCAACGTGTCTTACATTTCCACCTTCATTCCCCTACACCACATTCATACCCAGCAGCGTCTGCCAGTCACACACATAACAGTAGATACTTAGGTATCAACTCAAGGACAGAGATACATACATTTAAAATAAGAATACACACTTTTATACACTTGCGCCTAACATTCCATTCATCAATAATACTTTGCTCTACTGACGCAGGCCCTGATATCCTAATGTTACTGCACCAATGTTCTTTCAACAACCTGAGCGATTCTCACATCAGTTTGTCAGTGAGCTGAGCAGAGTATAATATCATACGGAGCACAACTAAAGTCCTTACTCTACTTTTATGTAGCTGCGTCCAGTATTAAGGAAGTTAGAGGTAGTTTCGCGAGCCAATGCTAACTAGCGTTAGCGCAATTACTGGAAGTCTATAGACACAGCTAGCTATTCCCATAGATTTCCAGTCATTGCACTAACCCTATTTAGCAAATGAACTAACGCTAGCGGGAAACTTCCTTCAATCTGAACTGAGAGACTCCATCCACAAGTTAATCTGACTCTGGGGAGGTAGATAAAGAGCCTCATTGCCAAAATACCAAACTATCCCTTTAACTCAAGGGTAGTTCAGAATGTTCTGATGTTACACAATTCTATTTCCTTCAGCGCAGGGTGTTTTATTTCTCATTTTTCCTGTTTTTTTGCCAGAGAGGAAGAAGAGAAACATACACACATGGCAGTATTTTTCCAGACAGGAGAGGTGTCAAACGGGAGGAGGGGATTTGCCATAAATCTGTCACATAATGTCTGGAAGCCATTCAAAAAATATTATTAGTCCAATATACTGGCACACACACCATTCCTGGGGGGGTCAGCAATTTGCACTGGACCACCTGTACAACAGTGGAAGCTGCTGAGGGGAGGATGGCTCATAATAATGGCTGGAATGGAGTCCATGGAACGGTATCAATCACATGGAAACCACATCGTTGATGTTTTTGATACCATTCCATTGACTCCATTCCAGCCATTATTATGAGCCTTCCTCCCCTCAGCAGCCTCCAATGCTGTACAAGTAGGACTATGCTATGTATGGAGAGCAACACACACACACACACACACACACACACACACACACACACACACACAGGAAGCAGGGTGGTGAGTGTGTTACTATTATGCAGAGTGATACACACACGCACTTTGTGCGCCAGGGTAACACCGCCCATTTTCACAGGTGTTAAAGTTATTGTGGTCTGAAAATCCTAATCTCCACAAATCACACATTCTGCCAGCAATGTTGGTGAGGCTCTGGAAAGAACATGCTTTAATGGGCACAGTTTGTGTCGTCCGTTGTGTGGAGTGCCACCACGATCTTGCACGCTATCGGCAGGCAGGTCCAGACACTGGCAAGGACCCCAAGGCCTTGCATCCTGGACAAAACAAACGCTCTTCCTCAGGCAAAAGAAAAGGAAAACATCAAGCAATAAAACAGTGCTGCCAAACTGCCAGGAACTGGGTCTGAAAAGTTCTCTCCATATAAACTCAGCAAAAAAAGAAACGTCCCTTTTTCAGGACCCTGTCTTTCAAAGATTATTCGTTTTTGAAATTCAAATAACTTCACAGGTTTAAACACTCGTTTCCCATGCTTGTTCAATGAACCATAAACAATTAAATGAACATGCACCTGTGGAACGGTCGTTAAGACACTAACAACTTACAGACGGTAGGCAATTAAGGTCACAGTTATGATAACTTAGGACACTAAAAGAGGCCTTTTTACTGACTCTGAAAAACACCAAAAGAAAGATGCCCAGGGTCCCTGCTCATCTGCGTGAACATGCCTTAGGCATGCTGCAAGGAGGCATGAGGACTGCAGATGTGGCCAGGGCAATAAATTGCAATGTCCATACTGTGAGACGCCTAAGACAGCGCTACAGGGAGACAGGACGGACAGCGGATCGTCCTCGCAGTGGCAGACCACGTGTAACAACACCTGCACAGGATCGGTACATCCGAACATCACACCTGCGGGACAGGTACAGGAACAACAACCGCCCGGGTTACACCAGGAACGCACAATCCCTCCATCAGTGCTCAGACTGTCCGCAATAGGCTGAGAGAGACTGAGGGCTTGTAGGCCTGTTGTAAGGTCCTCACCAGACATCACCGGCAACAACGTCGCCTATGGGCACAAACCCACCGTCGCTGGACCAGACAGGACTGGCAAAAAGGGCTCTTCACTGACGAGTCGCGGTTTTGTCTCACCAGTGTTGATGGAAGGGATTTGCGTTTATCATCGAAGGAATGAGCGTTACACCGAGGCCTGTCATGGTCTGGGGCGGTGTGTCACAGCATCATCGGACTGAGCTCGTTGTCATTGCAGGCAATCTCAATGCTGTGCGTTACGGGGAAGACATCCTCCTCCCTCATGTGGAACCCTTCCTGCAGGCTCATCCTGACATGACCCTCCAGCATGACAATGCCACCAGCCATACTGCTCGTTCTGTGCGTGATTTCCTGCAAGTCAGAAATGTTGGTGTTCTGCCTTGGCCAGCGAAGAGGCCTGATCTCAATCCCATTGAGCACGTCTGGGACCTGTTGAATCGGAGGGTGAGGGCTAGGGCCATTCCCCCCAGAAATGTCCGGGAACTTGCAGGTGCCTTGGTGGAAGAGTGGGGTAACATCTAACATCAAGAACTGGCAAATCTGGTGCAGTCCATGAGGAGTACTGCAGTACTTAATGCTGCTGGTGGCCACACCAGATACTGACTGTTACTTTTGATTTTGACCCCCCCTTTCTTCAGAGACACATTATTCAATTTCTGTTAGTCACATGTCTGAGGAACTTGTTCAGTTTGTCTCAGTTGACAGTGTGAGGACGTTTCTTTTTTTTCTGAGTTTATTTTATGTGATTATAGGCACTTTTGGAAATTATTAAGGGTACATTACTCGGACAATCTATTAACTTATTTGCACACAAATAAACTTGACCTTGGATTAAATACTGAAACGATGAAAAAAGACATAGAAAAAGGTGTATGGATGCCTATTTAAATGTGGGCTTATTAAAAAGACAATGAACAGAATCAGAAGTAGGCTTAGTAAAGAAAAATACATTGGGATATTTACTATATATTTTAAAGAGAAAGGGAGATACCTAGTTAGTTGTACCACTGAATGCATTCAACTGAAATGTGTCTTCCGCATTTAACCCAACCCCTTAGATTCAGAGAGGTGCGGGGGGCTGCCTTAATCGACATCCACGTCTTTGGCGACCGGGGAACAGTGGGTTAACTGCCTTGCTCAGGGGCAGAACGACAGATTTTTACCTTGTCAAACCCTTTTGTATTCATCCAACAGTAGACTAATTTTATTTCAGAGTTTTATGAGGGGGAGAACACTGATGATCCAGGATTTTGAGGAAAGGGAAGTAGCCTACCCATATCCAGTCTTACTGCAGTGTCCTTACTGAATAAAAAAAATAAAAAAGTGTATGCCAGGGGTATTCAACTCTTACCCTACGAGGTCCGGAGCCTGCTGGTTTTCTGTTTTCCCTGATAATTAATTGCACCCACCTGGTGTCCCAGGTCTAAATCAGTCCCTGATTAGAGGCGTACAATGACAAAAAGCAGTGGAACTGGCTTTGAGGTCCAGAGTTGAGTTTGAGGGCTATATGCCATTGTGTGCTAAAGGGCACAGAATAGCCTGCACCAGCCAAATGGAATCACATTCAGTGGCACAGTCCCATACGGACTGATTCAGTATTTGCATTTTACTCAGTCATGATCTTACATATTTAAATCGTTTGCCAAAGTCTCTGCAAAATGGTTAAGCATCTGTTGGAATGACGCAGCCCAGGGAGAATTGGTCGTTGCAAAATCAAAACCAGGAAACAATTTGCCTCAATAACTCCTGTTGTTTTTGCACCCATTGACCTGCAGAAAGGTAGAGAATAATAGTCTATACTTCCCTACAGTTTTTCCCTACAGTTTTGCTTTTGAGCTGTGGGGCCTACCTCTTGTGGCTATTTGTGTTGTAGGCTATATAACCTCTTTATTCACATATGCCAAACACAAAAACCTTCTTCTTGGTTTTACAACCTATTCCTGGGCTAATAACAATATATTATCATTTGTGTGTGTGTGTGTGTGTGTGTGTGTGTGTGTGTGTGTGTGTGTGTGTGTGTGTCTCATGACTCACGGCCATTCCAGGAACACCCAATTACAATCATTCCCACCAAAGATATAATCATTTCAAAACATCTTGTGGGTGCATGGAGGCATTTTTGGAGCCAACCTCATAAGGAAAACTCATTGTAATGAGTTATTCAAGTGATAATGCCCTAGAAGCCGGTGTTTGGAGGATATATTGGCACGGTTTGCCGGCCCTCGACAACACCTGTGCCAATATATCCTCCAAACACCGGCTTTGAGGGCATTATCACTTAAATAACTAATTACAATGTCCATTTTAATTAATGCCAAACCCTTCCAACCCAGCAAAAAAACAATATTCCCTATAATATTAACTGAAGATAAACCATGCCACATCAAATAATAGCCTACTGATCAAGATTTAATTACAAACAATATTACAATATTTCTATTACAAAACAATAGTGTGTATTGGCAGCAGCTCTGCATCAGAGACAACTCCACCTGGTCTCATTTGAAAGCATATGATCCAAAGGCAAAGCTGTTCAGGAAGATTTAGGCTTTCAAATGTTAGCGTAGACAGGGGATATGGCATAAAAAAAAAACATGAGATTGTTTCTTCCATTAAAAATCCATATTGATTTAAATCTTTCTTCAGCATCTGTGCAAGTTATCCGTTTGCAAAGAAGCACAGCTGATCAGTAAATCTGTCCCCAACCAAGTGACAGTTTGCTGATTATATTGATGTTTACACCAACTGCTGTATAACTTCCTCAAAAAGAAAACTAGAAGCTAAAATCATGAGCTGATTTAGGGCCCATCTATCACACTGGATTACTAATATATTTCTGCCCCTAACAACATAAATCAGGATCGGCTCTCTCTATACACATGGACCGCGTCCCAAATGGCACCCTACTCCCTATTGAGTGCACTACTTTGGAGTGCACTATATAGGGAATGCGGTGCCATTTGGGATGCAACTATGATCTTAACAACAGAGCCAACCAGCCCTGGCCTGGTCTAGATGTTCATGGCACAAATGAAACAAACGCGTGTGAAAGGAGACAAATAGGGGAGAATAAGCTAGATGGTGGGAGCTCTGCTTACATTTCAAGGTTTCTCCAGCGTAGGGGATGTGCAGCTTGAATCGATCACAACAGGGCCCTGGAGTCAGAGATGTGCATCTGAAGAGATGGGGAAAGAGATGTCAAATTGGGTGTCAAATGAAAGCAAATAGTCTATATTTTTTAGACATTAAAGGCATGTTTCATCCATTTTCCATCCTAAAAATGTGGAATAGGCCTAAGCAAAGGCTTTGATTTCTGCGGGGGGCTGCCTTAATCGAGGTCCACGTCATCGGCGCCCGGGGAGCAGATGTTGTTGGGGGTTAACTGCCTTTCAAGGGCAGAACGGCAGATTTTTCAACCTTGCCAGCTCGGGGATTCAAACCAGCGACCTTTCAGTTACTGGCCCAACGCTCTTAACCGCTAGGCTACCTGCTAATTTCTGTACAGTGTACACTAGAGTTGAGTACACTATAATGTACTATATTGTACTCTACTGTTCTATGCTGTGCTGTACTGTACCAGTGTTTCCGGTGCAGTCATTTAGCTCTTGCGCTGCGCCATTGCAAAGTCATTGCTGCCACGGCAAAAAACTTTGGAACATGAAACAACATTTCTGCCGAGGCGCACATTGAAAATGCTAGAACCGTCCACATTTACTTTTCCTCTGCAAACAAAACTAGTAATAAATATAAAAAAGTTAATTTATTTATTTACCTACTCAGCTTAGTGTGTTATAAGCAAGATAAATATTTCTCGAGGCGCATTAAAGTTACGATTGCCACAGGGAGGGAAACATGCATTCTGACAAGCTGTCAATGCACAACATTTCTTGCATTTGCGGGGAAAACAGCAGTTTTAATGGCCTTTGTTAAGAGGGGGATCCCAGCTTTCCATTACTACTTTCTATATTTCTCAACTCCTGAATATGTACGAACAGCACCATTTTAAACCCTGAGTTTATAGCAACAGCATGGTTAACGTTACCACTCCGCAATTCGCTGTGAGCGCATAGGGGAGAGTGGGGATTAATGTAACACGGGTCAATTGTAGCATAACTTGCAGTAAAACACCACCCAAAATAATGTTTGGGGAGTGACTTAAAAAATTGTGATGAGACAGATTAAATGTATAGTTGAGCAAGAGTAGTGGCAACCAGGTAAAGTGTTGGAGGGGGGGGGGGGGGGGGGGGGGGGGGGGGGGGGGTCATAAAATGTATCAATAGGATGCTAACTAGTTAAAAGATCACATTTGGAAACTAGCTAATGATTAGCCCAATAGGGTTAAAGTCACAGCCGTGTATATTCCCTCTCAAGCCGATACCACGAGATCCCTCAAAGAACTACACTGGACTTCGAGCAAACTGGAAACCACATATTCTGAGGAAGCATTTATTGTAGCAGGGGATTTTATAATGGCAAATTTGAGGAAAACACTCCCGAAGTTCTATCAACACATTGACTGTAGAACTTGCGCTTCAAAAACTCTCGACCATTGTTACCCCCCCCTTCCGGGATGGCTACAAGGCCCTCCCCCGCCCTCCCAGTGTAAAAGAGGGGGTGTGGTGGGGGACAATGCAAATAGTCCGGGTAGCCATGATTAGCTGTTCAGGAGTCTTATGGCTTGGGGTTAGAAGCTGTTAAGAAGTATTTTGGACCTAGAAATGGCGCTCCAGTACCGCTTGCCGTGCGGTAGCAGAGAGAACAGTCTATGACTAGGATGGCTGGAGTCTTTGACCATTTTTAGGGGCTTCCTCTGACACAGCCTGGTATAGAGGTCCTGGATGGCAGGAAGCTTGGCCCCAGTGAGGTACTGAGCCGTACGCACTACCCTCTGTAGTGCCTTGCGGTCGGAGTCCGAGCAGTTGTCATACCAAGCGGTGATGCAACCAGTCAGGAAGCTCTCGATGGTGCAGCTGTAGAACTTCTTGAGGATCTGGGGACCCATGCCAAATCTTTACAGCCTCCTGAAGGGAAATAGGCTTTGTCGTGCCCTCTTCATGACTGTCTTGGTGTATTTGGACAATGATAGTTTGTTGGTGATGTGGACACCAAGGAACTTGAAACTCTCAACCTGTTCCACTACAGCCCCATCGATGAGAAAGGGGACGTGCTCAGTCCTCTTTTTTTCCTGTAGTCCACAATCATCTCCTTTGTCTTGATCACGTTGAGGGAGAGGTTGTTATCCTGGAACCACACGGCCATAATAGCACAATTGGTTAGGGGGCCGTAAAACAGACACGAGACGTACAGTGCAGTCGGCAAGTATTCAGACCCCTTGACTTTCTCCATTTGTTACATTACAGCCTTATTCTAAAATAGATTAAAATGTTTGTTTTTTACCCTCATCAATCAACACACAATACCCCATAATGAAAAAGGAAAAACATGTTTTGAAATGTTTGCTAATTTATAAAAAATGCAAAAATGAAATATCACATTTACATAAGCATTCAGATCCTTTACTCAGTACTTTGTTGAAGCACCTTTGGCAGCGATTACAGCCTCGAGTCTTCTTTAGGTATGACGCTACAAGCTTGGCACACCTGTATTTGGGGAGTTTCTCCCATTCTTCTCTGCATATCCTCAAGCTTTGTCTGGTTGGACGGGGAGCGTCGCTGCACAGCTATTTCAGGTCTCTCCTGAGATGTTCGATCGGGTTAAAGTCCAGGCTTGGCTGGGCCAGTCAAGGACATTCACAGACTTGTCCCGAAGCCACTCCTGCGTTGTCTTGGCTGTGTGCTTAGGGTCGTTGTCCTGTTGGAAGGTGAACCTTCACCCCCAGTCTGAGGTCCTGAGCACTCTGGAGCAGGTTTTCATCAAGGATCTCGCTGTACTTCTCTCCGTTCATCTTTTCCTCGATCCTGACTAGTCTCCCAGTCCCTGCTGCTGAAAAACATCCCACAGCATGATGCTGCCACCACCATGCTTCACCGTAGGGATGGTGCCAGGTTTCCTCCAGACGTGACGCTTGGCATTCAGGCCAAAGAGTTCAATCTTGGTTTCATCAGACCAGAGAATCTTGTTGCTCATGGTCTGAGAGTTCTTTAGGTGCCTTTTGGCAAACTCCAAGCGGGCTGTCATGTGCCTTTTACTGAGGAGTGGCTTCCGTCTGGCCACTCTACCATAAAGGCCTGATTGGTGGAGTGCTGCAGAGATGGTTGTCCTTCTGGAAGGTTCTCCCATCTCCACAGAGGAACTCTGGAGCTCTGTCAGAGTGACCATCGGTTTCTTAGTCACCTCACTGACCAAGGCCCTTCTCCCCCGACTTCTCAGTTTGGACAGTCGGCCACCTCTAGGAAGAGTCTTGGTTTTTCCAAACTTCTTCCATTTAAGAATGATGGAGGCCACTGTGTTCTTGGGGACCTTCAATGCTGCAGAAATTTTTGGATCTGTGGCCAAGATCTGTGGCTCGACACAATCCTGTCTCGGAGCTCTACGGACAATTCCTTCGACATCATGGCTTGGTTTATGCTCTGACATGCACTGTCAACTGTGGAATCTTACATAGACAGGTGTATGTCTTTCCAAATCATGTCCAATCAATTACATTTACCACAGGTGGACTCCAATCAAGTTGTAGAAACATCTCAAGGATAATCAATGGAAACAGGATGCACCTGAGCTCAATTGTGTCTCATAGCAAAGGGTCTGAATACTTATGTAAATAAGGTATTTCTGTGTGTTATTTTTAATACATTTGCTAAACTTTCTAATGTTTTTGATTTGTCATCATGGGGTATACTTTCCGAATGGCAGGGTCTACAGACAATCACCGATTACAAAGGGAAAACCAACCACGTCGCGGACACCGACGTCTTGCTCCGTGACAACCTAAACACCTTCTTCGCCTGCTTTGAGGATAATACAATGCCACCGATGAGGCCCGCTCCCAAGGACTGTGGGCTCTCGTTCTCCATGGCCGACGTCAGTAAGACATTTAAGCGCGTTAACCCTTGCAAGGCTGCCGGCCCAGACGGCATCCCTAGCCGCGTCCTCAGAGCATGCGCAGACAAGCTGGCTGGAGTGTTCTTACGGACATATTCAATCTCTCCCTATTCCAGTCTGCTGTCCCCACTTGCTTCAAGATGTCCACCATTGTTCCTGTACCCAAGAGAGCAAAGGTAACTGAACTAAATGACTATCGCCCCGTAGCACTCACTTATGCCATCATGAAGTGCTTTGAGAGGCTAGTTAAGGATCATATCCCCTCCACCTTACCTGACACCCTAGACCCAAGTTTGCAGACAACACAACAGTAGTAAGCCTGATTACCAACAATGATGAGACAGCCTACAGGGAGGAGGTGAGGGCCCTGGCGGAGTGGTACCATAGAAATAACCTCTCCATCAACGTCAACAAAACGAAGGAGCTGATCGTGGACTTCAGGAGACAGCAGAGGGAGCACACCCCCATCCACATCGACGGGACCGCAGTGGAGAAGGTGAAAAGCTTCAAGTTCCTCGGTGTACACGTCACTGACAATCTGAAATGGTCCACCCACACAGACAGTGTGGTGAAGAAGGCACAACAGCGCCTCTTCAACCTCAGGAGGCTGAAGAAATTCAGCTTGGCCCCTAAGACCCTCACAAACTCTTACAGATGCACAATTGAGAGCATCATGTCGGGCTGTATCACCGCCTGGTACGGCAATTGCACCGCCCGAAACCGCAGGGCTCTCCAGAGGGTGGTGCGGTCTGCCCAACGCACACTGCCTGCCCTACAGGACACCTACAGCACCCAATGTCACAGGAAGGCCAAAAACATAATCAAGGACATCAACCACCCGAGCCACGGCCTGTTCACCACGCTATCATCCAGAAGGTGAGGTCAGTACAGGTGAATCAAAGCTGGGACTGAGACACTGAAAAACAGCTTCTATCTCAACACCATCAGACTGTTAAATAGCCATCACCTGGTTACTCAACCCTGCACCTTAGAGGCTGCTGCCCTATGTACATAGAATCACTGGTCACTTTAATAATGTTTACATAATGCTTTACTCATTTCATATGTATATACTGTATTATACTGTATTTTTGTCAATGCCACTCCGACATTGCTCTTCTTAATATTTATTTATTTCTTATTCCATTCTTTTACTTTTAGATTTGTGTGTATTGTTGTGAATTGTTAGATACTACTGCACGGTTGGAGCTAGGTACACAAACACTTCAATACACTCGCAATAACATCTGCTAAATATGTGTATTTGACAAACAAAACTTTATTTGAAAGATGGGCAACCCCATGCTTCAGCCTATTTATTTATAGCCACTATGCTGCATCAGTTGGGCTACAGGTGATAATGTTTCTATTGCTAACATCATACCTCATCAGAACTAGACAGGTAAAAGCGAATTCACAACACACATCCGCCATATTGTTTCACCTATCATATTTTTTTTCAAATTAGTGCACATGAATGAGAGGATATAAGGAAGAGAAACCACTTTAAACTATTGAAATGCACCACATAGTTTCATATCAAAGGGTCACAAACGGACATTGAGCAGAACTTACCCAGTCTTAAGGTCTGTGACGCGCAGGCAGTTGGTGGAGTCAAGGCCCACTCGACCATTCCGCACAACACTGCACAACAAGGGGCGCAGCTCAGGAGAGATGCGGTTCAGTGCAACCTCAGGGAACATGTTGTTCATCTTCCACACTCAGGTTCTCTGGAAACAGCCCAAGACAGAAAGCAAAGGGGCATGCCACCATTAGCGCAGTAGACACACCATTAAATGCACAATGCATTGACAGCTACAAAATACATATTATTGAGACAATGCTCTTTTAACAGTATGTAATGTATTCTGCAAGCTGTAACGTTACATAACTATGGTCAGAGTTTGTTAGATTAATCAATCACAGGCACTGACTTTTTGACACAGACAGACATCTTTCCAACACTAGCAATGTGCGAAACATAGCTAGCTACTACAATTGTATTTATGCAAACTCGAGTCAAATGAATGGCACAGAGGTAGCTACATTTCTTCACTAGTTTACTTTCATTTTGATGTCGTTAGTTAGCAGCTAACTACTTTTCCATAAGCAGTAGTGGGAGGTTTTCCCAATAATTAACTAGCAAGCTTGCTACATCAATTGCTGTCAAAGTCAGCCGATAGCTCAAAATGGGGAAATAGCTTACTTTATTGGAAATCCAAAAATGTTAACGCTTCAATTTTTACAGCAAATAATCGGTCGTCACTAGTTACCACAGTCACAAAGTTAAAATAATTATTCAAATGTCATTTTAAACCGAACCTTAACCACACTGCTAATCTTATGCGTAACCCTAACCTTGAATTAAGACAAAAATGCTATTTTTTGTTTTCATGAATTTTTACGACAGCCAATGTTGATGTTGTGGTTGTGCAGTGTAGCGGAAACCCAAATCTTCCGGTACATGTTTTTGGGGTCCTTTTCGGACCTCAAAGTCCATAGCCGGTGTTGCTTTTGCCTGTCTACAAAAGCACCTTTTCATCCTCTGCAAATATTCTATCCTAAATATTTTTGTTAATCCTTTTTTGTGTGTGTTATAATAATGATTCCATAGAATAGAGATTGTATTTTTAATTTGGTCAACAAATTCATTCGAAACACATTATACGAGTCAGAACTAGCTCAGCTAGAAATTCTAGAGCTGTCATTTTTTCAACGTGTAGCCAGGCACTACCTCAGTGGCAGCTACTGACCGTGCTAGCAATGCACTTTGGCCACTTCATAACAAGCAGCGAGAACAGAATTGGACATTAGGTAATGTGTTTATATCTGACATGTCAACATTATTTGAAATAAGTAACTTTAGGGCAGTGTTTTTTGCTAGGTAGCATAGTCAAGTTTAATCAAGCAAGCTAATAACAGACACTTTGTACCAAATATGTTCTGTGACTGTAGGACTCATAGCCAATTAAATTCAACGATTTACGATGGAGTTGGACAAGCAACTAGTGTGGCTTGACTGGAGCTCCGACGTCACATACAATTTAGTTTGTAAAAAAAAAACGAGTGATTTCAGCACCACGCAATTACATATAACATTGTTCTGGGGAATTGCGTGGTGAAATCAGAAGTTTTTTAAAATAAAAACGTCATTTTGTGACGTCAGCACTCCGTGGAGTTGAGTTTAGTCGGCTATTGGAATAGTTAGCTACATGCAACCAATACTACCAATGTCTGACACAGTGCACTCTTTTCAGTCTCAGTGTGTGCGTTCGTAAATACACTCTGGCTATCTAGCTACTCCGATTTCAGAGCCCTCTCGTCTGAGTGTTCCAAAGCGCAGAATTACTAATGGTTTTATTAACGCTTAACACCAGTTGAATATGGCCGGTGTCAGTAAACGTCGGCAAAAAAAAAGCGTTATTAAATTGTTGCCAGCAGCACAGTTACAGTCACCAACGCTCTTGATAACAGCCTAACACTCTGCTAGGGCGAGTAAAATGGTCAGAGTGAGGTGTTCTCTCATTTGTGTCTGGAAGTAGCTAGCAAACTTGTCAAGGTTGCCAGTTAGCTTGACTGCAGTTGTGTGGTCAGAAAGCTCGGATCAACCCTTGTCCTCTGCCAGAGCGTCCAGTGTGCGCTCTGAACGCCCCGAATTTACGAACGCCAAGAGCACACTGAGTGTATTCTGGCACTCCAGATTTAATTTACGAGCACACCCTTAGTGTGGCGCTCATTTAAGTGATAATGCGCCTTCTGGGAGGATATATTGGCACTGGTGGTGTTAGACCCGAGACTCGAGGGCTGGCAAACCGTGCCAATATATCTTCCAAACCCCGGCTTCGAGGGCACTATCACTTTTATACAACGGGTTGCCAACATATTCAAATAATGATTTACATATTTTTCATTAAAAATGTTATTTTTATGAATTTATTCATACTATTTAATCCTTCCACAAAATATAGTCTCGACACAAATCTAGGGTTGCTACCCAAGCCGGTTGGTCGTTCATTCTATCTGTTCGGTTGCTAGAGACGCTACCCAGTCCTTCAGTCTTTTTGTTCTGTATCTATGGACGCGACCCAGTTGTTCGCCATACTGCTAGCTAGCCAACTACGTCTAACTTAGTCACGTCAAAAAGGGCAGCCAGAATAACAGCAAAGTAGCCGCATTTGAATTTGTTCAAGCTGTTTTCTACTTACATTTATTTGGATACATCCATAACAATGAGCTAATGAGGTGCGATTTCGCCTGGCATAGAAAATGTGCTCACTCGTCAGGACACGTCCAGAGGAGCTTGCCAACAACACAGCTAACACAATTACTTCAAACTGAAGCTGGAAAGACTACACTTCGTTTCGTTTTACCTTTTTTCAATTGACATTTATTTTTATATATCCATAAAAATGCCAGCTGATTAATGATTTTCGACTGGCTGAGAAATGCTACCTGTCTGTCTGTCTCGTCCTGACACGTTCATTACTATGGGACAGCTGGAGATCGAATTTGAATCTTGAAAATGTTGGAGAGACAGACAGCAAGGTTTATACAAATCTCCGCTGTTGAAAACTAAAGGTTAGTCTAAAAGAAATGTGAGATAATGTCTAGATACTTTTTATAGTGGAGATCAAGTTTATAAAGTGCCTGGCTGGTCTGATGAGACAGTGGATTGCGCAGTCAGATGGAACAGAGTAAATAGGCATTTTAACATCATAGATTTAGCTGGTGGTAATTTGTGGAATAGACACCGGCTGCAATGCGGTTTTAACTAATCAGCATTCAAGATTAGACCCACCCGTTGTATAATAGGCAATAGCAAACACTTGAACCATATAAGCTAAAGTGATGTTAATATTCTTCAACAGTGAGTGCTGTGTATGGCCTATTTCATGTCTGGTCCAAAGTTCATAACCAGCTACTGACAAGCTAGCCTCTATTGGCCTACGATGTGCAGTAGTAGCTAGCCAACTCTGTTTTCATGCTTGACAATGAACAAAAACACAGAAATAAGCACCAAGACAAGACTGGACCATGGAGATAAAACTAAACTGTCAATGGACTGGAACACCAGGCCACTGATTTGTGTCAAGAAAAAAAAAGAATGTAATGAGAAACACTGATTAATTACCAACATGCCCAGACAGTGTGTGAATGGCTTGAATCCTTGGGGGAAACTCAATTGTGTTTTGTTCATTTCTTGCATACTCTCTCCTCAAAACAATTCCTTGGATGCAGTTTGATAAGGAGGCACAAGGAAAGGACAGATGATGTGAGGAATCAAATCAACAAAACAGCCTAAATTCACATTGGGTCAAACTGTGTCATTAATTGCCATTTTTGCATTGATCCCCTCTCACTGAGAAATTGTCATAACCTGATGGAGTCCCAAACTATACTGAACAAAAATATGAACGCAACATATAAAGTGTTGGTCCCATGTTTCTTAAACTGAAATTAAAAATCCCAGAAATGTACCATACACACAAGAAGCGTATTTCTCTAAATAGTTGTGCACAAACTTGTTTACAACCCTGTTAGTGAGCATTTCTCCTTTGCCAAGATAATCCATCCACCTGAAAGGTGTGGCATATCAAGAAGCGGATTAAACAGCATGATTATTACACAGGTGCACCTTGTGCTGGGGACAATAAAATGCCACTCTAAAATGTGCAATTTTGTCACACAACACAATGCCACAGATGTCTCAAGTTTTGAGGGAGAGTGCAATTGGCATGCTGACTGCAGGAATGTCCACCAGAGAATTGAATGTTAATTTATCTAACATTCTCAACCACTTTCGATGGCTACTAGCATGCTGGATAAGTGTGGTCTTCGCGGATTAATCCCAGTTTCAACTGTACCAGGCTGATGGCAGACCGCGTGTATGACGTCGTGTGGGCAAGCAGTTTGCTGATGTGAACGTTATGAGCAGCGTGCCCCATGGTGCCGATTGGGTTATGGTATGGTCAGGCATAAACTACGGACAATGAACACAATTGTATTTTATCGATGGCAATTTGAGGCCCATTGTCTTGACGTCCATCCGCCGCCATCACCTCATGTTTCAGCACGATAATGCATAACGCAATTCCTGGAAGCTGAAAATGTCGCAGTTCTTCCATGGCCTGCATACTCACCAGACGTGTCACCCATTGAGCGTGTTTGTAATGCTCTGGATCGACATGTACGACAGATTGTTCCAGTTCCCGCCAATATCCAGCAACTTCGCACAGCCATATAAAGAGGAGTGGGACAACATTCCACAGGCCACAATCAACAGCCTGATCAACTATATGCGAAGGAGATGTGTTGCGCTGCATGATTGGTTTTCTGATCCACGCCTAGGGCTGTTACGGTGACCGTATTACCGCCACACCGGTGGTCACGAGTCATGGAGGCGTTTAGTCACGTTAATTAGTCTTCTCCAAGCTCTGATGCTGCTGATGGTCATTAGTAGCTTACCTATCTTGCTAACTGCCTGGTACTCAGCACTCTATTGTCCCTCTAATCACTCTGACGTCAATGCAAATGTAATCGAAATTCTAATCAAACACTTAATGAGAGCCCATGAGCTCATGTTGCGCAACAATTCTATAGGCTATGCAATTGCGTGAGAAAGCAGAGTGATGGCCTCTATTAAAAAGAGGAGGATCCCATCAGCTTTCTATAGGCTAGGCCTACTATATTTATTTCTCAATTT